TTACAGTAGAAGAAGTCTTCAGTACTTCAGAGGTTTGCACTCTTACAAGATTACAGTAATACACTACTATCTTAGTATATATATAATATTATCCTATCTCACAATGCAAACCATGTATTTCTAACTCCCACTATCAATACATCAATGAATCTTGGTCAGAGTTCAGATTCAACCAGATGAACTGCAACACTTCAGGATGAACTGTTGTTCTAGAACAGAGTGGTTATTGTACTTCAACAACGCCTCGTTGAACACAACATCTCGCGTTTTTCGCAACTCTCAACGGGGCTGGGTAAATCAAATTGCTTTGTCGACTGTCTCGTAGAATGCAAGGTCTCGCGATTTTCGCAACTTGGTATCTGCATTTACAGGACTCAGCTTGGCCTACTACCCGGAACAAAGTACGTGACAGTGGCATGCTACTGTGATTCCACCATCTCAGAAAAGGTCTTTGTAGGAGGGTAGGTAAATGAAGAGATAGTGAATTATACATGGTATAAATTAAAAGCATCAATGTTCAAGGTTGAACATACTTACCAACATGTTTCACTTTTTGAACCTCTATCCGCAAACTTAAAAGATGTGGAAACACTCAGCTTTACCTAAAACATTTACAAAAACAGTTGTGGTTTCCGTATATCAACAACTATTAGATAATTAGCAAAAGATGAAAGTAAGTGACATGATTTTGTTGCTATCTAACAAAACCCACACCCTTATCTAATAATTCAACGAAGATTGGAAAGATTTATAGAGTTGGCCCATATATTCCATTAGAGGATCTTGTGACTGGACAGATGTGACAGTTTTGAGTATCCTATTAAAATTCCTCATATTTAAAACTTTATTGCAGGTATTCTGAGAAAATCGGGCAATAGCATTCTTAGGAAGATATTGGTTTAATCCAAATATGGAATTTGTACACTATTCTTGGGTTATACAAACAGTCCTACTTTCTTGCATGTAATGACCTAAAAATTCGCGATTCATCTAAGGTTTTCAATTCGTGGCACATATATCGCTATTTAATTGAATGAGCAAATCAAAGATAACAAGGAAAGAGAAGGCATAAATCAGCATAACAATCTGCAATCCTTTTCCAATAATCTCTAAATTACCATATTGTAAGTACTTTAAGAAACACCTCAAAATCAAATAGTTAACCAATATACACAATAAAATTCTGCTTATCATTGAGAATTAATCTGCAGTTTCTACTATGTGAACAACCATACGCCTTTTATTAATAAATATTACAGACGACTATCATCTGTCTTTTTGAACGTTCTAAAGAAAAAGGAATACTATTGCTAATAGTTTTTCCTTAATAACAATATTGATAAGGATCACTCCTTCTACAGAAGGCATATTATTACATAATTAATGCTTTAATAGAATTATATATTCATTTAACTTATGTTGAATAATGTGTATTGTTTGCGATTTAGAATAAACGATCAACAGTGAGGTGAGGTGACTTCTATATAAGTGATGAGATGAACTTCTATTCTAATCATTGATAATAATAACAATATTAAAATTGGTGCAGTATTTCAGTTCAAATCCAATATTTATCTAAATATGGAATCATGAGTAAAGGCATTGGTATTTTGGTTTGTTTAATTTTTGATTATTCTTCTTGAACTGACAACAAAAAAGAAAGATAGCACGTTAATATATAACTTAATGAATGTTGACATTGAAATACCAGCAACAATAGGAAAAATATTAGCAACACAAACATATTATTTTTTACTTATATTTGCTAAAATGGAAGAACTGTTAAAGTAATCCATGTTTTGTATATCTATTTGGGAATAGAAGAATACCTAGTTCAAGAAATAATTCATTAAAATTGTCAAAACTATAGTGACACAGAACTTTGTTTGCTTCAGGGTTGATGCAGCATTCTTGTTTATTTGTTGTATTGTTGGGGCAGCGGAAGCACCAGGAGTTGTGCCGCTTGCACTGGATTGTTGCTGAACAGCAGCCGAGTTACTTGCAGGAGCCTTTGGTACAACAGCTGATCCAGCATTGGCCGCTGGGGAAGAACCGTTGGAGCCAGCATTAGCTGTTGGATTGGTTTGTGGCTTGTTAGTTCCTGAAGGATTGTTTCCCGCAGCACCCTTTGTTCCAGCAACAGTTCCGACGTTATTGTTAGAGTGGGAGTCAGCCTTTGGAGTATAAGTTATTGAGGTAATTACTGGTTGGCCGAATTGATTAGTTGTAGTAACGCCAACCACTATCTTGGTGTCAACACTGCCATCCTTGTTAGTTAAAGTTGTTGTATGAGCGTTGTTCAACTTGGTGGTAGTTGTTGTGATAGTAGTTGGCTTACCATTAACGGTTGTAGTGATGTGTGATACTACATTGGTTTCAATAACACCGTTACTGTGGGTGACAGTAGTTGTTCTGTCTTTGTCTGCACTAACATCACATGGAACAGTAGTTGTAATAGTAGTTGGCTTACCATTAACGGTTGTAGTGATGTGTGATACTACATTGGTTTCAATAACACCGTTACTGTGGGTGACAGTAGTTGTTCTGTCTTTGTCTGCACTAACATCACATGGAACAGTAGTTGTAATAGTAGTTGGCTTACCATTAACGGTTGTAGTGATGTGTGATACTACATTGGTTTCAATAACACCGTTACTGTGGGTGACAGTAGTTGTTCTGTCTTTGTCTGCACTAACATCACATGGAACAGTAGTTGTAATAGTAGTTGGCTTACCATTAACGGTTGTAGTGATGTGTGATACTACATTGGTTTCAATAACACCGTTACTGTGGGTGACAGTAGTTGTTCTGTCTTTGTCTGCACTAACATCACATGGAACAGTAGTTGTAATAGTAGTTGGCTTACCATTAACGGTTGTAGTGATGTGTGATACTACATTGGTTTCAATAACACCGTTACTGTGGGTGACAGTAGTTGTTCTGTCTTTGTCTGCACTAACATCACATGGAACAGTAGTTGTAATAGTAGTTGGCTTACCATTAACAGTTGTAGTGATGTGTGATACAATATCAGTTTCAATTTTGCCATCTGAACCTGTGGTAGTAATTATATAATCTTGGCCGGATGGTGTAGAAACAGCGGAAGAGATTGAACTGGAAATAATGCTAGATGATGAGGACATGTTGGATGAAGAATGTACGATTGGTACGGTATTTACATTGTTATCTATGTTATAAGTGGTTGTAATAGTAGTTGTGTGACCTTCAGTATCAGTGGTTGTGATGGTTTGAGTAGTTTCGCCCACATATTGAGGTTCAGCATCAATTAAAGTCTTGAACATTTCAGTGTAAGTACTTGTAATGGTATGGCCATCGCTGTCGGTATAAGTAGTAATATGCACAGCTTCAATTATCTCTTCTCCATCAACGGTAATGGTCTTACTAATACCATTTTGTACAGCTGTTGGAGACTGGTATTGAGTCAATATGACAGTTGGCTTACCATCTTTGTCGGTAGTAGTGATGTGGGAAATGATGTCGGTGTGCACATGGCCATCCTTGTCAGTGACAACTGTAGTCTTATCCTTACCATCATCAACTGGGTTGGAACCACCAGAACCGCCTTCACCAGAGCCAGAACCACCCTCACCAGAGCCACCTTCAGAACCAGAACCACCAGATCCGGAACCACCTTCAGTGTCTGAACCATTGGGGTTAGGACCGGGACCACCTGCAGTGTCTGAACCATTGGGGTTAGGACCGGGACCACCTGCAGTGTCTGAACCATTGGGGTTAGGACCGGGACCACCTGCAGTGTCTGAGCCACCAGGATGAGGACCGGGTCCGCCATCCATGTCAGGACCACTAGGTATGGAACCAGTTTCATCTTTTTGTTCTGGGATACTTGAATTCGAATCAGATCCCAATCCATTAGACTCGGAATTTTTCTGCTGTTTTGTCAAGAAGACTGAACATGTACGACCACTTAATAAGATCGATGGGTAACGGCCCCTGATTGAATTGGAACTTTCGCTACAGTGGTTAATAATACTATAATGCCGATCGCTGTAATAGGTAGCTATCGCATCTAAACCACTTCTAATTGTAATGGCATTTTGTTCCGAAATTATGTCAACGTGTTGGTAAGAAGAGTCATAAAAGGTAGAAAATAGCATATTGGTGGTATCAACATCATTGATATTTGGAGAATATAAATCAGCATTGACGAACTTTATACCATCCTGACCTTTTGGAAAAACATTTAGAAATAAAAACCCAGATGGCCCTATCATAGGTCCTTTTGCTAAGTCAATTGTAAGTGGAGAAACAATCGAATAACCAATATATCCTAATGTGTAAATTTTTGGGTCTGTAGTTTCACTGAAAATGTCAGCATAAATGCCAATGACACCTTCACAACTAATAATTCCCGATAAATCATTTTTTCTTTTGTAAATACCGGCTTCATCAATTCTGTCTGTACCTAGATCTAGTCTCCAATATTTTAATGGGTATTTGTTATCTACAGTTTGTTCTGGAGACAACATTTCTAATTTTCCTAAGATAACAATGGGTGAATTATAAGGAGCCTTATAAGTACCACCGATATGGATTGAGCCAATATCAATGCTACCATCAACAATGCTATCAAGTTTTGGAACAGTAATCTTCATGCTACTATCCTTGGAAATAAATAGTCCATTTTCATCAGAATTTATATCAAAATTGAACAGCTCATATGCTTGCTTAGAATCAGAGTACTTCAATGAACTGCCATCAAAAATAAACTGAGACCCTTGATCTAGCTTCACCTCACCATTGATTGTTAAGCTATATTTAACGTTGTTCCCTGAAGTTGTTTCTATATTTAGTAAAGAGTTTCCTCTCAATATGACACCAGAAGTCAAATGTATTGCTGAATAATTTTTCAAGGTTATTTTAGCATTATCTAATACCAATTGCTCAGCTTCTGTGAAAGACGTATCACCAGTTACGGTACTATCAAGCACGAGCTCTTCATTTTGATACGTTTTTGCAGTTGTAACACTCCACGAAAGTACCCAAGCAAATGTTGAAAAACACCGATAAAGCCTCATTATCAAAGTTAAATTAAAGCAGCAGCTTCTTCCTTAACTAAGTAGATTATATATGCGTATTTTATGCAAATAATGCTCAGTTAATGATGTCTGGTAGAAAAAAAATAAAAAGAGCTTATATCTAATAATTCGAAAATTCCCAAATTGATAAAATATAAGATAAAATCTCAGTTTATATATCAATTTATTATGAAATCAAAACCTTAAAAGAGAATGAAAGGAAATATGCGACTGTTCTTAGATGACTTACTAAACTGTTATACAAACACGGTTCTTGGTTTACATAATACAACAGCCGCCATTTTTTTCCATTTCAGGAAAAACATGCGAAAATTTTGTCTTCATTTATTTGATCTTTCGATTTAGAAACTATGAATAAACACGACAAGGGGAATGTATAGAACATTTTTATGATTATAGCCGAGCAAAAGTTTTCAAGTGCTAAAAATTAGGGAAATTTTTGCATTTCCGATAGAGTTTTTTTCTGCAAAGAATAGAGATGAGCAAAAAAAAAACGAGCATCAGAAGCAAAAGAGATTACCAAATAGTATCATAGGAGTCATTCAAGATTTTACCGTGCCCCTTACAACGGTTTATAGCAACAGTTTTGGTTGTGGTTTGAACAATGATACCAAATATCTCCAATTTTCACCTCAATAAGGGATGAAAGTCAATTTTTATTGGATGTTTTCGCGTCGAAAAAGACCTTAACAACTCTTGACTGTAAATGATGGTCATCAAGGTGTCTGACTCAAAAAAAAAAGGATTTAATGCACAATCCACAGCCATTTGGACCAGCCAACCTTGTTTTACTCAAAAAGGATTTACCTGTGCGCCTTGAATCCGATTATTGACCGGCGTAGGTCACTGTTCCTTGGACAACGTGCTGGCTAAATATTGGTGGGATATACTGCAACCCTCTGGGATTACGGGAATTTCCTAATAGGGGTATTTTGTAAGGCTTTTGTACGGTAGTTTCTCTTTCATGAAAATCGTGAATGTCGACATTTATTGCGAGAGAACAAGATTTTTTGCATAGAGAAAAGGACAGCACATCAATTATGTCGGGATAACAATGCGGGGAAAAATTATGTAAAGGGGTATCTCTATAGCGCCGCAGTGTATTTGGAAGTTCTAGATGTATGAGACATGCCTCTTACAGACAACCTTGAGATCGCTAAGCCAGACACAAGGTGCAAAGTAAACAAACATACAATTTGGTGTTCGATTCTTGTAACTTTAAGGTGTAATTGTCCAGTTGGTGACTAAAATGATTTGCATTTTATCTAGTTAGAGTAATTGGGGTTTTGTTTTGTTTTGTTTTTTTTCGGAGTCCAAAATCCCGTGAACTAAAGAAGTAGGTGTTTGTGGTCCATATTACTGAAATAGTACCTACCTGTATTGAAAAGAAAGTTGTTAGCTATTGTTATGATAAATAATCATAATCATCAGTGTGCTACTTTCTACTCCGGGTTGAATCTATAAACAGTGTATTTCCAAACATTTTTCTTGTTCTCCGAACATTGTAACTATAATATAAGTATCCTCTGTTCTTCAATTAAATAAAATGATAGCTACATGTGGCTTGCCCTAGTAACTTGATATTATATTGCAAATTGGTTTGATTTGAGGTTATATTTATTATAACTGAATGAGCTACAGTTTCATCTTATTTGTTGAACTTTTTGTCACTTTTCAATATCCAATAGATAAAACTTGATGCTTTTGAAATCATCAGCGGTGAATTTGTATTCGAGTTTTTCTTTATGTTTTCTTTCGTGAATTGCAGCAGTACATATTGTTGTGTAGATAGCATAGAATTAGTGGCTATCGATTCCAAGTGATAATACGAATCACTCGTTACTGTAGACATTTAAGATATTATATTTATTCAGTAATGTTGTGTATTTGGTTTTGAATAAAACTAACGAAAGCCAGCTCATTTAGATTTGATAAAGTCAGTTTAGTTATGATAATTTGAAAATGTTGCATGGTTCTATTCATAGCACGCGGAAGATCTATGTCACTTTGTTTATTAATAAGAGGCTTATTTGGGTGCGTAAATATTATGATTTTGAAATTTACTTTCATGAATTATTTGTCAAGGTAGCAGTTAGAAATTTATAGTTAATGGAATTTTTCTTAATCAGATATGTTAAAAGGTCGTCATTGTAATATATTTGAAAAAACTGTTTATTCAACGAAGACAAATATCATTCAGCAGTATACCAGAAGTCATAAACGATGAAATTTGAAGTTGGTCAACAATACTCTTAGTAGATTTTCTGATCTTATATTAAAAGATAATAAATAATGTATTTATGACTGTTATCAAATATTTCTGCTTTAGTTGACCATATTTATATAACCAGTATATTTAGAAACTTATATAACGAAGATTTTAATTTATATGTAAGCTTACAATTTTGTACTTATTTGACTAAAAATACTAAACCTAGCAGATAGAATTTTATTATTGTCATAATTAATCGTGAGAGTTTTGGTTGTTTCATCATATGTTATGAATTCCGATATATTCAAAATAGTGAATGTCAAGAGACCAGACTACATTCAATTTATGTTGCTAGCTAATGTTTCCCCTATTGAAACATTAGTTTCATTGATTACTCGGATCAATATCATTTCACTTTTGCCTTGTGAAAGCTACAAATTGTCTAAGTAAGTTAGAGAACATGCATACGAAATAGGATATCACTAAATTAACCATAACTATAATATTTAAAAGTTTTCGCAAATATCCAACGTGTAAGAAAGTCAAGAAAGAACGGTTTTCCCTTGTGGTCTAAGCCGGCAGCATTTGGATTATTTATCTTGAAGTAAATTAAATCCATCTCATTTTGCCCAATAATGTGGTTTCGAAATTAGAAAATATAAAATTTTTAAACCTTGTATCCTCCTAAAAGAATTGTATTACATAAAATTTGTCTGGTTACGATAAGAAAATAATAGTATATATCTTTCCGAACGCATTTTTTGCTTTCCTTTTGAGAACTAGATTATTGCGATCATAATTTCATGTTTAGGTCAAATTCCTTTTCATACCTTCCTCGAGTTTCTTTTTACATAAAATCTAGTCCAGCATTTCATGAAAATCGTTGAGCATTATGTGATGATTATGCACAACTGAACATTCACATGCTCGTTCAAACCTTTACCCGGCCTATTATGAAAACAATTGTTTTTCGTTTCGGGTTGTAAAGTAAACAAAGAACGATGGCTGATTGTTAGCAAATACAAAATTTTAATAAATCTAAAACTTACATGATACAAAGAAACATAACAAGATCTAAACCGAATATAAATACTATCAAACTTATTGAAGTTTTAGAATTTGAGCTCGATTCATGAATGAAAACAAGTGACGAATTCACGCAAATTTTGTTCTCAAAAACCTGTTGAACTTTTGTTGCACACGCCATTTTAGTAGCTGGTGTTGTAAAAGCAATGCTGTAACTCACATCAGGTCTAACATCAGATTGTCTAAAATTGGAGTTTACTTGTGTGGTTGAAAAAATCAGGTTTGAATAAATCGTTAAAGTATTCTCACCTCCATTATCGATTAAGAGACTTTTAATGTCATGGGAAACTTTTGAATAATAGCTACTCATTAATAGCTCCAAGTTATGCTCATATGAAGGTCTGGTCGGTTCTGATACCTTATATGTTAGTGTCCCACCCCTGTTGTTATTCATATCACCCGTTAAGTTTATTGTCTCAGAATTATCCATGGTTGTAACTACAGTATATTTTGGTTCTAACATTCGTGTAGATTTTGGTGTGTGTATGCATGAACTCGATGTTATTGCGGTTAGTTCGGCCGTGGGACTGTCACATAAAATTGAATGCTGCATATTGTTTTTTGAAGTCGATAGTGTGGTGATGTAGACACTTCTGACAGAAAAACCAGAATGTAAAGATAAAGAGCAGTTCAGACAGTCTTCCTGTGGGCAGGTGTTGGCAGGAATGAGTTCAGTATTACGAGAATCACACATCATAGAAAGATAAAGACTGTCCGGTGTCCTTTTAATTTCCATAGCAGATGAATTTTGGAATGGGAAATCATCATTACTAATTGGACTATTACAGGGTGTATTGTCTTCTGTCATACCATTGAGGCTTTTCGTATAATTAGTTAAACAACCTTTATTGGTGGACAATGACAGAGAATAACTTTCTTTATTACCGAAAGATATGTCAACGCTACTAGCAGTAACTAGTTGCTTATCAGTGTGGATAAACGATGAGAGGTAACTGTAACTATAAATCTCTGGGTCAATTGTGGGATACTTCGACTCTGGTTCAACAATACTACTGTAACCTGAAGTAACTGGTAATGTAGATCTATTTTTAAAGCTTGCTCTTCCAAAAGAAACGGGCACACTTGATTGCCCTTTAGGTGTAGATGGTATTAATTGGTTTGTCAAAGTCGATGGGCTAGAAAAGTCAAAGGGCTGAGAATAAGTTGATTGACTGAATGAATCTAGTCTAAAGGACGAATCATAAGTTAAAGATTTGTTAGGTGGATTACGGTCATAGTATTTTCTAGTAGCATTAATTATGCTGCTACTGGTGATTAGTTGATTATTATTACCAATTGTAATGAAAAATGAAATCCATTGGGATTCTACGTACTGTTCCTTATACACAACATCAATCAACAATGGTGGGGGCCTCAAAGTGCTGGTATAAGTTGCGGTACTAAATGGGTAGTCTCTATTATCTTGCAAAACTGGTTTATAATCAATAATATGATATTCAGTTATGTTATTGGCCCCTTCCAGGATAGATGTTTTTTGTTGTGGTTGATTGTAAATTGTTTTAGTTATAGTGCTCAATGGTTGTTCTTGATTAAATGGAGGCCCTCTCGTAACCGAAACAAATATTTCTACAATTTCAGTTGTAGTTTCATGGACTATCGTCTCAGTTGTAGTGAACGCCACAGACTCAAAAATCACACACATATAAAGTGCTGAAAATGGACTTGCTGGAAAGCGAGGGAGTATACCATTTACACTAACGTATCCAAGAAAACCCATATTCAGAGGATGTTTCAACACAACGTTAGTTCCACTTGGATTTATACTATCGTGTAAACTAATAGTTTGGTTATCGTAGCTCATATCAACTATTCCATCAGTCATTAGGCCTATGCCAAGTGTAGCTGGAAATTGTGACCCAGAAATATGAATATATCTCATGCCTATTAAGTTCATATTCTTTTGTCCACTACTTAAAATGATACAAAACCAGGGTACATTAGTCAATATTATAGGGCCTTCACTTACATCAAGTGTAAAATGCGAAGTTTTCACAAAACTAATATAGCCAAGTGACTTCAAAATTGGATTTTCTGAATTCCTGAAAATATTAGAGTATACTTTGATCACCCCAACACATTCGATAATACCAGTAAGTTTATTCTCCACTTTAGAAATTCCATTTTCATCAATAAAGTCTGGTCCTAAGTCTACTCCCCATATTCTGGTATCAAAATATTCTGAATCTTTAGGTGCTGATTGTACATTTAATACGCCTTCGATAACGAAGGGAGAATTATATGGGAATTTATAAGTTCCACCAATTTGTATTGTTGGAACAAAATTATTTGGAAAGTAGTTATCTAACATTTTTGGTAGTAAGATATGCATGTTCCCCCCGGTTGATATCACTAGACCATCAGCACCAGTGTTGATTATAAATCTGAAATTACTAGCTGCTTCAAAATTAGTTGCATACTCTATATGACTGCCATCAAAATAAAACTTTGAACCACTGTCTATATTGACTCTTTCTTCAATTGTAAAGTCGAATGATAGAGATGGCTCAAATGGTGGGATAACTGTTAAGATCGATTGTTGAGATAAAATAATTCCAAAAGGTAGTATAATACTTTTAAAATTTTTTAATGTAACGTTAGAACGAATAAGCCTCATTGCGTCAGGATCCTCGAAAGTATCACTTCCAATGACAGCGGCATCTATTAACAATACTTGACTTTCATAAGTCCTTGCATATGAAAGATACCAGTTCAATACTATGGGAAGCCCCTTTAATAATCCGGTAAGTTTCATGTCTGTTATTTTGATTATCGAATTCGCTAATTATTTGTATTCTTCTAATATATGGTCTTGGTCAAACCATAACTTTGTGGTTTTAAGACCAATCCAAAAGATTTGTTTTCTCTAATGGTTTATTATATCAAATGAAAAATATTACAGTAATACGGTATATCCTAAAATATTATATTCCTGAATGTTTGTTGCTTATATTTGACTCAATTCTGTTTAATATGGGTTTAATCAAATTTTCTGCTATACTAAATCAAGTTTATTTGCGTTGGTTTATCTATAGTATCATCATTAAACACCTCGTGTAACTTATAAAAAGAAAATAGCTAGTTATGAATTGAACAATTGACAGTATCTGTGTTTAAAATCCCATTGATTATAACGTACAAATTATAATATGCTAATTTCCGAGTTACCCTTTATATTCTTGTTACTGAGAACTAAATGTAGTTCATAAAATTGAATTGTTATAATCCAATGTAATACATCAATAATTTCATTTTGCTAATATGCTGTCTTGAAGTTAATTTACTCCCAAAAGTTTAGGTGAATCACATGGACAAATTATAAGCGAATAACACAATTTAGGTTGGTATGTAAGCAAATTATTTCATAGTTTCCAATACATTTGCTTCTCATAATTCAATTTGTGTGTGTGTGGACCCCAAATTCAAAATTCACTTACATATTCATTCAATTCAGTGTTTGAACCTTTGAATTGAAAATTTATTTTTTAATTAGAAAAGCGTAGGGCAAAAATATTTGAAGTCTCTTGAAGATTTATGATCTACAGTGCGCAACAAACTACAAATCGAATACCAGACTATGGAATACGTACACATTTAAAAAACACTATATTTTAAAGATAAGGGACAAGATTAAAAATCAAACATAAATTAATGTATGCCCTTGTAATGTTTACCAATCACCCCTTAACATATTGTAAAATGGTTTGGCATTCCTCATATATACTGTATATTGTGCCGTATTTCTCTTATTGGAACCTTTAATTGGCCATGTTGCTGAGTAGTCCGTCATGGTAACCAATGCTTATGTTTGCATGTCAACGTTTGAAATTTGGTAATTATGCTTCATAGAATGAGCTTTTACCTATGGATATTATCTAAAACTGCAAAAATTATTCAATCTAAAATCATTGTGAAATTGATATATCGGTTTATGTCCAGAAATTGAGTTCAGGTATATTACTACTGTAATTATATTCATAATTTGCTTGACTCGATGTGATTACTTTGTGAAAGTACTACAGTCAAAACACAATTACATCCTTTTTTTTTTTTGCAAACCAGTAGAGAAAGTACAACACATTTAATCTATATAATAATCCATAGGTAGGTCAAACATGTGAACAATATAAAAAAACAGTTGAGGCTGTACTAATCTTACAATAGATCAGCTGAAGAGTCTATTCGTAATGTTGCGATATTAAAATGGTCTTTTATGGCTTAATTCGGTGAGGGCAGTTATCGTTTCATAATGTTAGATTTGTCACCCTTTATGATCAGTCACAAATAATATTAGCTAATTATATTACCATTGAGTAAATTCTAGGGTTTAATTGTCAAACACTCTACCTTCTACAACAGTGTAGATGAATATGAAACATTCATGAAACCAATGCACTACTATTACTTAAGTAATAATTATATTATATTGGATAGATGAACATTGGCATACAGAGGAAGGATCATAATGAAGAAATCCTAAAGCTCTTGCAAATGACGTGATTATTACAATTGAAAAGCCATTGTATATAAATTATCTTAAGCAGTGTGAAACTACTGTACCTTTATACCATGATATTATATTTACGGCTGTGTTGTTTGCATTTTGGATATATATTGCGTGTACATTTCTTAAGCAGCAAAAAGAAAGCTTATGGTGGGACTACAAAAGCAATGAAATAATGAGGTTTTATGGCACACCTTTAAAATAATGTTGAAATTAAGTTATAAATTTTCAAGGTTTCAGAAGCCAAAAAGCAGCTAAACTGTTATTTATGTTTATATTCAGTTATCATTACATTCGATGTATTAAAAAGAAAAGTCCTGTGTAATGTAGCAATTATTGTTTGCTCAAACTGGTCTTCTAGCCAACATTAAATATATCATTTCAAACAAATCTTTTTTATAGAACATTCCACAATTTTTTTTGCTAGTAAAGGCTCTCATGAAAGATTTAATCGTTCACACTTGTATACAATTAAATTACTTTTTGAAAAAAACAAAATGTACACTAAAAATCAGCTAGTAGTAGTTGAATTTGAAATTGCAAGTCATATTTTTTAAGTCAAAATCAAAAGCTTGATAGAAACAATGATAGGTGTAAGATAACTAACTTTTATGTATTATGCATTTATCTTTTGTTATTTTCTATTGTAAGAAGAACACTCTTTTGAAGTGTATATGACAGCTAGCAATCAATAATATACTTCATATTAATTTCATTCCAAGACATCAACCTTTTTTCAGGTTAATGGCCTTAAAACATTTGAAGTTAAGTGGACTTATGTTAATACACAGAAATAAACCATAGCTACTCAATGAGATAGATAAAATTAATGTGAGAGGGAAGGCTTATCCACGTTGTATTCTAGTAGTCGTGACTTATTAATGGATTTATGTTTAAGTTAGCGTAAAATAAATGTCATAAACGAAGCTGGATCTCAATAATATTGAGAAGTTGAGAGAAATAAAATCATAACCGATTTTTACATGTAGTTCCTTTGTATCTGGAGGTCGCTTTGGCTTTTCTTATCTGGCAAGCAGTGGCACCCTAAACCAGAGGATATGTTATTTAATTGGTGTTTTCTATTTCATCAAGTATGCAACATAAGAACGGTAATGGTACATTAGTACAGCCACGCCATCATAAATGATGAACATGCTTTCACAATGAGAATAAGAAAACCTCTTTCAATAAAATGAGTCTTCAAGAAATGCACATTTACTATGTGTTGTACCTCAAATTGACGGTATCGAAATACTGTACAGGACAGTTAGTCTCTGATCCAGTATTATATGTAGGAATTAAAAAGTAAATAGAAGTAACTCACATTTTAAATGATGTTCTCTCATCTTTATTTTTTCATTTGTTATAGTACGATTGGCAATTTATTTCACTAGCTGAAAGGTCAGGAAGGTTACCTGCCACTTCTTCCAGCCTATGACCATCTTTGAAGGATCCGTTATTGCATATATGGGACAGTCCTCAACAGATTATCTTCTTTAGAGAAATGCCTACTTACTTGTGTAATGACCTAGAATGTAAGGGTCTTCCTATTGCAGTTAGATATAAGTGTTTGATTTTTTTTAGATTTATGAGTGGAGAGGAAAAATTCCACCTTGCGGGTAATAATTTCTCTATCCTTTGAAATTTGAGGCTCCATGTGTAGATGTAATGTTTGATCCAGGAAGAAAAATAGCTTCTCAATGATTTCATTGTTAAACCGGGTAACAAGGATACTTGCGTGAGAGAATATCGGTAAACAGCGAGAAAAGAAGGTTCCATTAAAAAAAGTTCACTACTATTCAACCATAGTGGTGAGAGGATACCTTAACTACACACTGAGAGGGGCCAATACGAAGAACAATATGTGTACTTCTACAATCCCAAATCGCTAGAAGTGTAACAGAGTACAGTACAACTCGGGAGAAGCAATGTAGTAAGGACTAGTAAGCAGAAGGGGCAGCTCAGACACAAGCAGACAACACATCAAAAGTCGAAGCCGTGCATGTAGCCCCATAACATGTTATGTGGACCCTCTTTTTTTCATCTCTCCCAACCTCCTCCTCTACTCCCCCCGCTCATTTTGTTGGTTTTGCGTTCGCTTGCTTTGACCCACTGATCGTTCTTGTGGTCCCCCTCCGGTGTGAATTGATCTGGGAGGGTTAATGCATGAGAATGAGAGACTTTGCTTCTCAGTTTTAGTAAAAAACCGCATTACCTAAATAAAAGGAAGTGGTATTTTGCATTTTTTTGGTTATTTTTCTTCCGTGTTTCTGAGAGAACGGACCGAGAGAGAAGAAATGTGAATTGCAAGACCATGAAGCACATAGGACGGTATTGCCAAGGAAAGAAGATAGAAATACGGCACTTTTCTTTGAGAGCTTAGTCCAAAGATACAGATTCTCCACTTGAATGCCGTAGCAGTACTCCACGGAATATATATGTAACCCCGCAGTTGTGCCCTAGAAAAAGAAAGCAAAACCTTAAAACAGGTGCCCTATAGGTGATTCTATTTGAAAGAAGGGTTCTTTTCACCTGCACCCGCATGCAGTAATTTCTGTGTATTTTTCAAATGCTGCATTTTTTTGACAATGAATATATGCAGAGGATGCCTGTAGTACAAGGGCTGTTTGATCCATTATGCTTGAAAATAGTGAAAAAAGCAAAGCAGCTACGTGCAGTGGGTGCTCCTTAGATACTACAGTAGCTATCAGAAACGAGATTCATGCTGCATTTTTGTGAACGGGGTTATATTCCCAGAAACTACTGTGGACGGGAATGAAAGAAAAAACAGGGAAAGCACCCTCACTACTAAAACTGTTGCTCTTTTACCCACTAAACCTGCATTTCTGCATCAGAGCATTACTTTTCCTCAGGGCTTTCGTCTAGGTAAGACGGCGGTGGGCAAAATACCAACATATAGAATCGGAACAGTTGTCCGAGAAATATACGGACAAAGAGCTATAGCAAGAAGATAGTACTAATATGTAGAGGAGGTCAGGCGATCCGGAACTTTGCAGCTGTATTTCTACTAAGTTTGTTGTTGTTTCTAATAAAGAATCAGTTACTAATGGTAGAAAAGCACTTTAAAATAGGTCTTCGACTTGGAATAGGGAATTGGAAAAATATAGTTATTGGTCTGCGTCATACAAAGAGATATTTTGGGAAGAGATAGAGTTATAATAAAAGAAAAATTAACTTTGCGCATTCTTTCAGGAGTTCCTTGTTTATTTTTAGAGTATCAACTAAAATCTAAAAAGGAAACCAACAGTTGCATTCTCTTCCATATATATATGAACAAAGTTTTTCAAAGTTGTTGATGGGATCAACAAACGCCATTCCAATATAACTATAAACTGACAACCGTCATTCAAGTTTGATACAAAACACAACCTATAATATTTTTTGCAATTCCTTAGCATATATCAAAGTGAAATTTATCAAGCTATTCTCCAAGTGATCTGGCTTTAACATTTGTGGGTATTATAAACTACATAAGTGAATTATATCTGTTCTAGTATATGAGTCATAAGGATTATTAAGTTCGGAGAAATAGGTAAAGATTGCAACTATTGATTAAATAGCATTTAAGGATAGAGTACATTAATTTGATAGCATTTGAACCGATAGCTGTTTATTGTGGGGAGGTTGTGGTGAATTTCATTTACAATAGATTACAACCAAATTACTTTCGTGTTCGCCTGTTACTTTGATTTTTCTTGTCCATATCTCGTTTTGAAAATTTGTTTAAGAATTTGAAATTCTGTCTTCATTCATACATTGCTCATTGTAATAATCCAATATGACAAATAATGACAAGACAGATAATGTCGTGCATAAGAGAGATTGCCAATCATTTGATGCTGTGTCGATAACTAGTGACTATTCAAGTACCAGGTCCTCTACCCCAGATTATAAACATATCGATTATGACTCGTGGCTCTACAACTTATTTAAGCCTCTAGGTAGATTGTATGATCCAGGCAAAAAACGTTTAATTGCTATTGCTATTGCCATACTTATGTTGGTCACGCTGGGGGAAATTTCAATACAAACTGAAGGACAAAAAGAAATTGTAATTAAAGAGAATGAGAATAACCTCTACCAAGAATTGTACAGTCCAACGGAAGACACGGAAGGAACTGTGGAAGGAGATGAAATAGAGTCTATGCTTGATTCGGAGCTCGATGAAGATGATAGAAAATACCGTGATGTTGTAGGAGCCAAAGCTATGATGAGAGGTGTTAATGTCAAACATAGGATTGATAATCAGGAATTTTTCAGATTGGCAATCCCAAATGATATAAAACAGAACAGAACAATATTTTATGATAAGACTCTGAGTAGTTATTATGGCAATATTGATACAGATAAATTTGTTGATACTAATGATGAAAAGAACTGTGACCTTTACAAATTTGAAGAAAAGATCTCTTATATGAATAGGCGAAGAAATATTAGTCCCAATTTAAAGAAGGTTAGGCAACTGCTATTGGATGAAAACTCACCACGTTCAAAATTTATTAAACAGATCGCGCAAAAAAAGGGATATAATGATACAATGGCAGTTGAGCGTCAGTTCTTTACGACGACCACATCTATTTTATGGCTTGAACAACATGTATGTTATATTTCATTCACTGGTGTCGTTATATCTGAAGCTGAAGATGTGAATAAACCATCGCTAACAGTAATTAGTAGTCAAGCCTTTGACGATCAATGGAAGGAGATAGAGAAAGATATTGGCTTCATTGATGAAAAAATTCCAGATTCATTATCTGAGGCCTTCAAAAGAATCGAATCGGAGTATGACGCTAACAAGAACTGTGATGATGAGGCCAATAATGTAGAAAAGGATTGTCTGAATAATATGAAATGTGATATAAAAGATAAGGAAAAGAAAAAAGAGTGTGAAAACAACCATAAAAAAGCATGTGACAAAAAAAAAGAGGATAAGAAATCTGCTTGTAAGCTGCTGGTCAGCAAAAACAAAAAATTGGCAGATGAAGAAAAGAAGGCTATCAAGACCAATTTTTACGCCCTATATCCAATGATACTTGACGTTCCTACTGAAACTAATACAGCACCAACAGGTTTTAAGAGACTAAGTGCAACATTACGTGAAACAGATGACGGTGTTATTGAACCACTGTTAACGTATCAATTTGAGGAAACCTTGACATCAAATATATATTATGCCTTGCCACACAGAAAGTATACTTCTTCCGGGACATTGAAGGTTGAAATGCCATCTTTGAGATCAAGAAATGGTTATTGGATACCTTTTACTAAAGCCATAGATATGGGTACTAAACAAACTGTAGGGCATGTACACCTGATCTCTAATAAGCTGCCTTTGGTAACTGCAAAGTGTTCATTTGATAAAGGTGAATGTTTTGTTCTGTATAATTCTAGGGATACAGATAAAAATGATGACAATTCTGAAATTAATCTCCTTGATGCAGGTACAAATTTTATAGAGATTCCATCGGTTGTTCCACGTGTGAAAAATAGACATATTTGGGTTGGAATGAACGAGATACACATACCACTTTCTGAACATAATAAGGAAGTAAGAAGACCAGTGATATCTGTTTTAGAGGAACAGGAGGGTACGTTTAATATATTTTCATATTCAAACCCATTGAGCTTTTCTCTGATGGAACCTATTGAATTTCATAATAATTCTACACTTACCCATGATATTTGGACTCCTTACTCTATAATATCATGGAGTGTTAGGAATCAAACAGCGGATACTTTAGATTTCGAAGATTATATGCAAATTGCATTTGGTCATAATACAAAGAATACCTCTGTTGTGACCTTGAAAGGGTATTTGAACTTCCTCTTGAAATCGTTTCGAAGTGAAAAAGTCGAAGAGGATTTGATAAGCTATAAAAATCAAAATCAGCTGGATGAACATTTTATGTGTTCATACCGTGATAGTTTAAAAGTAGCTCAAAGTTAAATATCCGCAATTGATTTATCATGAACAGCGCCATCTATCTATGGAGGTTTTATATGTATGGTATGGTATGTTTCACAGATGGTGAGAATTTAAATAACCGAACATTAGCATCTAGTATTTTATACATCTACATAACAATGATTAATAGCATATCTCTCAGAGAACAACAGAGTTGCGTCGCGTCACTAGTTCACTTGGTACATGTCAATATGAATAAAATACGAAAAAAAAATTGTGAATATTGAGGTAGAATCCTATATGACAAAGACATTTTACTATTACAATTAATATGCTGGGGTAGATGTTATATATGTTCGCCACCACAAATAAGTGAAGAGGGATTTTTAAAAGTAGTAATGGTTGCTAATAGAATGATCCTTTGTCACAAATAAGATTGTATCTTATCAGTTAGGACAGATAGTCGTGTAGTTATCATAATAATGATACTAGGTCTGCAATCTGGTAGAATTCATTGACAATTGGGTGGTACAATGATGATCTTCCCATGTGATTACCTTATATATCGGAAACTGTTTGCTTCTAAATTTATGTCATCACAATATAGCTCAATAATTCCACGGAATGTAAAATAGTACATTTATATTTACACCTAGATCATCCGTAGGTTTCTTAGGATAATTTGTAATGGTGTTCCGTAGGTATAAGTGCAATTATTATTCCTTATAATTCTATAATTTCATCTGCTTATAGTGGTTATTATTTGCTACTAAGCTAACAGAAGATATATTTTTCATAGTGTAGATTAAGGTTCCTTACGTAAGGGAATCTCTGCTGAAGAGTATGCGAACTGTTAGAAAAATAGCACTGTCCCCTAAAAATTTCAATATAGGACCCGAGATGTCTAATGACAATGAACGGTTGTTAATGTACATCTTAGTAAGGGGGACTATATGAAACGTCCTTGATATACCAATGTGGTACTGGCTAATGTGAGCTAAAAGAAGATACCGTTTGAAGACGAGAAGGAAGCTTTGATTTGTAGTTCAACTTGTATAAAAGGCAGGCTCTTCTCCTATATCTCAGTTAGCAATCGTCTGGTTTTTATATTTCTATCAAGTTTGCTGCACTTTAGGGACTTTAAGATCTTTCTCTAAAAGATAACTATTTTGAATTATTCATCAAAGAAGCCGGTGAAATTGTTACAACTATGGTTTCTGCTAAGCAAATTGTCATTAAGAATGAACCCACACCGGGTTACCCCTTCCAGTTTGATAAACATAGTGATGACGCAACTTTCACCACTGTAGAGAAGAACATTGATGAAAATGACTTATCCGATGGCGAGGTTCTAGTAGAAACTCATTATCTATCAAATGATCCAGCACAGAAATTTTGGATTGCCTCAATTGATAAAAACTATGCAAAGGGTGTTTCCAAAGGTGAGGTTATTCCGGCCAGAGGAATCGCAAAGGTTTTGGCTTCTAAGAACTCGAAGTTCTCAGTTGGTGATTTCGTTTCTGCTAGAACTGGGTGGACGAGTCATTGTATTTTGAAAGACTCTGATGGCGTAGAATTAACTAAACTAGATCTGACGAAAGTTAGTGATCCATCGTGGTATTTATCTGTATTAGGTGGTACAGCATTAACTGCATATTTTATATTTTATCGCTATGCTGAACTACAAGAGAGAGAATCCGATTACGGTAAGACATTTTTAATTTCGGGTGCTGCAGGAGCAGTTGGTTCGGTATGTATACAAATTGCTTTGCATAGATTTAAAGCTGCAAAAGTTATTGCTATCGCTGGTGGCGCTGAGAAGGTGAAATTTGTTGAATCATTTGGGAGCCGTGTTGTTGGTGTAGATTATAAGGATCCCAGCTTTAAGGATAATTTACTAAAAGCAGCAGGTGGCCAAAACACAGTTGATTATTTTATTGATAACGTTGGTGGTGAGATTTTAGATTTTAGCACTGCATTATTAAAAGTCCATGCATATATTATAGCATGTGGTTCTATCAGTGGTTACAATGACCCAAGCAAACTGCCATTCAAGAACTATGTAAGTGTAGTGACCAAGAGGTTGACAATTAAGGGTTTACTGCTTTATGATAACAAGGAAAATTTCCCTGCAGGTTATAGTAAGTTGTTAGAGATGATTGAAAGCAATCAATTGGATGTCAGCAAAGCAGAAACAATGGTTGATGCAACTGGTGAAAAGTTTGATGATATTCCTTTAATTTGGAACAGTCTATTTGAAGGGAGGAACAAGGGTAAGCTCATCACTAAACTAAAGTAAATTGGAATCCTAGATATATATTTATTATTTTACGTGAATAATATTGCTGGAGATACTTCTCTTATAGCATTGTGATTATTCTTTTTGAATCCTATTAAAAAATGGTTTGCTTTTTTCCTTTAATCCCATAAACTATATGACATTATTTATGTAATTTAAGACGATGTATTAATTTAGTTGTTATTGTTCTATTTAGCAGAAGAGCCAAAGAACTTTCAAAAGGCTCTACCTAAATGATACTATCATTTATGTAATAGTCTTATGTGTTGGTAAAGTCTAAAAGAGGGGTATACTAATAGTCGCAGAATAGATTGCATGCGTCGCAAATACATATTCTATAATAAACAAGATTAATTCGACTATATTGAGACTAGTTGGCTTGGATAACTGAACGCACGTCTTAGCAAATAAGAAAGATTACAACAATAGTATTAATAATATTCGGACTCTGTTGTGCTGTGAAATATTCATTTTGCAATCTCTACCATACTTTTATACACTTGGCTCAACGTTATATTCGTTTTATTTGTACTATAAAAAAATTGCTTCACGGCCTGATTTAGTTCTATTTTGCAACGCGATTATTGGTAACAAATAGACCACTCTGACAATAAAAGTGAGTTATTTTAACTACAGGGTAACTGCAAAATTTGGAAGTAGTGAAGTATTAGGTTGAGTAATATGTCTGCTTCTCGCAACGCTGTGTTCCGTGTGGGAGAGATACTTTTGCATGAACATGAACGTACTTTAATAAAAAGAACAGCTCAAATATTAAATGAAAAGGATCTTTTGGCAGGTTCTCCTGATGAAGTACCGAATAAATCTATCAAAATACCAAATTACTGTGAGCCAGGACGAGAAATTGAAGAGCACACCTATTCATATAAAATGCTAAAGCAAGATCAACATGGAGAGAAAAAGGTTAGGTACGATGGATTACTAATAGGAAGACATTATTTATTCAATGTATTTACTCTTGAGAGTCGGCATCCAGTATATTTTGTTCTTGTAACTGACCTGATGAAGACTTTATCTGTTGATAGCATGATTGATGAAGACGAATTTCTACGCGAAAATAAAGAACTTTTTCCGCAGATAACATCAGATGATGAAGCAAGTTTCTTGAAAGAAGTTGGGCTTCTAGAATCTGTTAATAATTCTGAATCTCAAAAGCATAAAATAAAGTTTGTATCTGCAAGGTCGGCGTTTATTAAATTTGGTGCCGCCGTTGTAGCTTCTGGGCAGCGAGTTAATGATGATTACTGGGAAAATGAGGCGAAAATTCAAGGCTTTAATTCCCATCATAGAGTGTTCAAACTCTCTAAAAAGCAATTGAATATATTAAAGTTACTAAATCCTGGAGTATCGAAAATAAAGGAAACAAAACAAAAACCTACAAGTCAGGAAGGGCAGAATTGGTGGTTGCATTTTGAGCAGCCTTATTCAACAATAACAGAGCATCCGCAATCTGATATAAAGGAGGATTACGAAAAATTAAATGAAATTGGAGACCAACAACCACCGTTAATTCCGGGTCAGAATATCAGCGGATCCTTGGAATTAAGTGCTCAGTTTAAGGTCCCAAGATATCATAGCAAAAATTCTTTTTTACAGGCAACGCAGTTGAATGCTTTGGATATCCCAATTGGTGAGCATGAAAAACTAAGAAATGAACAATCTAATGAAACATCTGCATCAGTTTCAGAGAATGGTCCAATCAGCAATAATTTTCAAAGCCAGAGCCATTCACAATCTCCTATCCCAAGTGCTCCTGTCAATAAACCACTAAGGAGAATGTTGAGTAGTATTTTGGATAATAATGTTAATTCTATTAAAGTAAAAAGATCAGAAGAGCAGGAAGCTTTAAATTCAACAGCTGAAATAACCACTTCTAATTCTTCTTTAAATATTGATGGTTGGAAATTTGAATCTCTCCCGCTCATAGATAGAACGGGCTCGGGTGAAGTGAAATTTTCTGGCAGAGGGTTACCATTTTATAATAAATCCAAAATACTGAACAGATTAGCAATGCTTACTCCAAATGAAATTAAAGAACTTGAACATTTTCATGACGCTGTTTTTTTCAACACAGGTATTCAAAAGGTAAGAAAAATAAGAAAACAGAAATGGTTAAAGTATTGGCAATACAAAATGGGTATACCAATAGGTCTAAAAAGTGGCCAGGTTGAATCATTCTTTGATCGTGGACTACCAGAAATTATACAAAGAACAAGTACTAAACAAATATTCAATGAAGCTACAAATACGGACGAGATCTATACCACCAAGAGAATCGCTAATGCTAATTTTCATGGTAATTGTAATATTAGCGGTCTGTTCCCGCCATATGTTTTGCCTCCACCAGGACCTAGTTTAGAGGAACAATGATGACAGTTATAAATTAATTATATGCGTATATACAGCTTTTGTATGAATTACAATAATTTAGTTTTGGAGATCTCTTGTTGAATCTTATAAGTATGATATGCAGTCAACAGAATCACACCAATCAGAGGAAGCATCCATAAAAATAGCTTATTCAGTACATCAGTAGATGTTATTTCACCATGATTTTTTCTATGCTCCATTCTGATTGATTCTTGTTCTTTCAATAGTTCACCCAATTTATCATTCATGTTTAGAAATTCCTTATAATTGTCAGGGATGATAGTATCATCTTTTGTAAGAAGATCTTTGTTCTCAAAATGCGCAAACAGCTTTAGTTGAGTAAGTAATTCATCTAAATGTTTATTCATCTTTCTTTGTCCCTCAATCGCATTATCTACTGAGGTTAATAAAGTGGAGACATCATTACCAATTATTTTGCCTTCTAGTTGATCGATTTTCTTATAGATGTCAAGAACACTGACATCTGACTTTTTGGTATCAAAAATATCTTTTTCTTTCATTGTTTGTGCTCCTGTATCTTTGTTAATTATTTTTTGTACAGTCTTTGGCTGAGGCATAGCTTTCATATTTGGTTCAAGAGCTTTTTCTAAAATATCGTCATACAGTTTTATTCTCAATAGCTCAAAGGATTCCTCGGTACCTGCGTTATTAGCACTTGTACCGATCCTGAAATTCTTTTGTGGTAGCAAGATGTTTCTTGTTTGAAAACATACTTGGTTATCAATCTGTAACTTAAGCAAATGGTTCTCCTTCGGGCTATATGATAATCTCATTGTGAATGGAACAGCAGAATCTTGGTATCCCATTAAGCATGAGGCAAACGCATTGGAATAGATGTCTTCTTGCTTAAACTCCTGGCTGCCATCATTCAAAATACCACGTACACTAGGACCATAATTGCTGAAGTTATCTATTAAAATTTGCAAACCAGAAAACTTGTTTGGACCTCCATAAAGTTTGTCGTCTAGCTGGGTGGTGTCATCTAAAACCCAAAATGACATTCCTCCCTTCGATTTTCCGCTGAAATTTATGCTTCTGAAAGTCCATTCAACGGTGAAAGCGTCTTTGATAGGAAACGGGTCCTGTAACCAAATAGAGCCCTTTGTATTAGTCTTTGGCGTTAATACAACTCTGCCTTCCACTAGTCGTGCCGACTCCAAAGCGTTCCATTGTGCCGGCAGCTTGCTTGCTTTTACTAAATCTAATAACGAGATATCCCTTCTAAGGGTAGTTTCATCTCCAGATTTGTTTATAACATGACCATAGACGCCAGTTATAAGTATGTAAAGGTATAACAGTTGTAAGCAAAACATTTATACTTGACTTTTAACCGGGTGATAATTTCATAAATATGCCAGTGGGGGAAAAGATGGAAATCGTAAATTGGAAATCGTTACTGTATAGTACAATTGGTTATCGTAATTATTCTATTGGAGGAATAATATATCAGATCTTCTCCACAATATTTCAATTTTTGATACGTAAATATGAAGGCTCTATGATAGGTTACCCTTTGAATTAATTGAAATGATCCCACACACAGGATTCACTGTATTAGTCGAATAGCAAAGAAATAGACAGTTATACAGAGATAAGTGTCTGGTTATCCGATATCCTATATGGCAGTCAATGTTTATTGGTAAAAAAAGCTATATTCCTTCGATTTGAAGAACGGAATTTGATCTTTAATGAAATGCAGCTCAAAGTATTGTCAACATCCCCTTTGTGCCGACAACTTTCCTTGAAATTTTGTCAAAAAACGGATTTTCATCGAAACATCAAGTTAAAATTCACCTTCGATGGTGACAACTCTGTTCTCTTCTGGTGGTCCCTTTTTTGTGATGGAAAACGTAATTGCGATCGCGATGCCCATTTTTAGTAGGCTGATGCAATATGGCATCTGAAATTATCTAATCTATTTATAAAACAGTAGCGTATGGGGTCCTTCATACCATTGATAGATATCAGATGTTTCAAGAGGATTGAATCGAGTCTGATATTGGAAAGTGTTCTTCTGGAATAAAAAAGAACCAAGGCTTTACTCAACTATTTAAAATAAGAAGTAGCTTACTAGCTCTGCATTCCATTGATAAATAAGTGCGAGGTTGGTGTTGGCTTTATCAGCTAAGTGGAGCAATTGATATAAAAATTAAAGGCCTCAGAAGTTCAAGCATGCCTTCTTTCATAGATACTTTTTGGTCGGACGATCTACAAAGTGGTTTAGATGTACTATTTTCTAGACTTTACCATGGTTGTGATCAATGTGATTTATATATACAGATGTTTGCTTCCCGGATGCAATATGAAGTCGGTTATGGTAAGCAACTAGCTGGTATTAGAACGAATATCGATGGACTTGATACTGTTATGCATTCCAACTCCACTGAAGATCCAAATACAGGCGATAAAAGCGATGAATCACACTCAGATAATAAGAAAGGTCGATGGGAGCCTACTACAGTTGTGGCTCTTAGTGGTATGTTAGACCAGATGGTAGTAGAGGGAAAGCAGCATATCATGATCGCATCGAATATTGAAACAATGGTTTTACAACCGTTCAGTAAATGGTGCACAGAACATAGAGAGAGAGTCAAATTTTCAGAATCACTACTGAGTAAAAATGTAAAGAATTTTAAGAAATCTAGAATATACGTAAAGAAATTGGAGAATGACTACTTCAGCAAATGTAGGGCATTGGAGGATTTTAAAAATGAAAACTTTAATGATGAGGAGCTTGCCGCCGCCATGCGGGCTCTAAAAATTCAAAAAAAATACATAAGTGATAGAGAAAAGGAAAAGGATAATCAAATTTTTATTAAGCTGAATACGCTTGAGTTGGATCACAAATCCACAAGGGAAATTATAATAGCGTTGCTGAAAGATCTGCCAAAGTCTGAATTTCGTGTTCCTTTAATTAATTATACCCTTAATAATACTAATAGTGGTAGAGAAATCACAGATTTTCTAAAGACTGCTCTTTCGATAAAAGATCTTGATGAGGCAGAGGCATTTGGACAAGAGCTCCTGAATTTAGGTTTCATCAAGTATTGTAATGGTGTAGGGACTACATTTGTGAACTCTAAGAAATTTCAGTATCAGTGGAAACCGTACGCATACAAGTATGCTCGACTATCATACAGTGATGGAAGCAATAATGTTTTGTCAAGCTCTCTTACTAAAGACTTTGAAAATAACGTATCCACATACCTTCAAGATATGACAACAAAGATCTCGCAACGTGCTGTGTCTAATGAAACTAATGGGTCCCCTAATGTCAATGAAAAAGAACGCATTTTCTTTAAACTCTTGAAGGAAATGGAAGATGCTGATAATAAATATTATAAAGAAGCGTTCAAAATGGACTCATTGCGGTGTTCTGTAGAGGAGTTAGTCATAGATCACTTGTCATTTATGGAAAAGTGTGAATCAGATAGATTAAAAGCTATAAAGAAAGCAACGTTAGATTTCTGTTCGACTATGGGCAACAAAATAACAAGCCTGAAATTATCATCTGAGAAGCTATTGGACTTTGAAGATTCGATAGACCCATCTGCTGATATGCTGGCATTACTAACAAATTATCATACCGGTGTTTTTCATCCAAGAGCTATTACGTACAATAATTACTATAACCCAGGAAGTTTCCAAAATTTTGGTATTGACTTAGAAACTAGATGTAGGCTCGATAAAAAGGTTGTGCCTTTGATTATATCTGCTGTGTTGACGTATATGGATTCAGTATATCCAGATATGATAAATGATAAAATCCGAACGTTGACGTGGATTTCACCTGTTAAATTGAATTCCACACATCAACTTCGTAGTTTGCTAAATAAGAGACAATTTTCTGATGAGAAAGAAATTCTAGAACTATTAAAGGTTAATGATGTTGAAGCTAGTACCGTTGCCAGTATAGTTAAGCTATATTTATTAGAACTACCTCAGCCTTTAATTCCCAAAGATTTATCTGAAGTGCTTAGCGAATTGTATATACAATTTCCCCTGGATATGGATAAAAGCGGTGACAATGAGAATTGTGACAATGAATTGCAAGTCGATGAAAACAAACACAAGAGAATTACTGGCTTATTTACTATTCTTTCTTCACTTTCGAAGACTCATTTGGCAACCTTGGATTCCATAGCAACGCATTTTCACAGATTAATAATGATCTTAAAAATGGGGGATAATAAAGAGGATATTGCTTCAACTTTTACCGATTCTATATCTCAGGAATTTGCCTCCTGTATAATTCAAGCAAGTACGGTTGAAGACAATGACTTGGGCTACAAAATTTTTTATGACCTTCTAACAAATAAAGAGCATATCTTTTCAAATCTTAAGAGGCAAGGATCTAAGAAGGATTTAAAATCGCATAGTAAATAGGGCTTACAGCATAGTACTAACTGTTGATAGTCATTGATGAACATTGCACCATTTTTCTATTAATAAGGGTTGTTGCTTTAAATAAATATGTAGAAAATAGGGCAAAACTTTTATAATTCACTCGAATAGTGAGAAGACTGAAGAAGCATAGCTTACCATTGAAATAGAAAACATTCTAAAGTAATAGGAATTTGCTTTGCTACATTGACATTCACTAAGGTGCTTCCCTTATTCATATAACCTTGATCATGTGACTTTTCTTTTATTCATATAGAAAAGAGCAATAGAAATACGAAATACGAAAAAGGTTCATCACTAATCAGGCGCAAATGATAAATAATAAAGATAGAAGAGCAACTTTACAGAGGTTGCAACTGTATTGACTTTTGGTATCTGTAATTTTTTATTGTTGCCTTAGTGATTACGAAATATTTCTGGAAACTAATTTCAGTTCAAGCAGATATCCTATTCAGGCAACTTTTTACTGAAGATGAATAGGTACATTGGGCTAGGTGTGCGTAGGCACTTTCACACATTGTCACCGTTATTTAACAGTTTTAAGCCTATTCATGTTTCTAATACTCACAAATATAAACAAATATTGACCGACAAAAATGCCTTTACTGAAGCGCAGGCGTCAATGATAGTTGAGTTGATGGTTGATGCAGTTAGAGATGGTGTTGAACATGTCTCTAAGGATTTGGCTATGCGTGAAAAACTTACTCAGCTAGCCTACCAACAGAGAGTAGACTTCGCTAAACTTAGAGATCAACTTCTAAGTGCAGATAGAAGCGAGTTTCATAATCTTCAAAATGAATATGAAGGTGTTCGTAACGACTTAGAAAAACTAAGAAATAAGCTTCGAGAAGAAATTACAAAGGCCAATGCCGGCTTCAAGCTTGATTTATCGTTGGAGAAGGGTAGGATAAGGGAAGAGAATAGCCATTATGAACTACAGATAAAAGAAATTGATACAAGAATTGATCAAGAAGTAAATAATATCAAAATGCAGATTGACTCGGTTAAAACCCAAGTGATGCAGTGGCTAATTGGTGTCTGCACTGGTACATTTGCACTAATCTTAGCATATGTGAGGCTTCTGTCATAGGATAAAAACAGAAATTAATCACATTACCTATATAATAAATAATATTCTTTGCTAGATGCATAGTGGTTTTAATTAACATCTATTTTAAAATAATTGCCTCACAAATTAAACTTCTGGCATCAATTATACATAATTGCAGAACTGTTTGTTGTCTTTTGTTTTTATTTTCAGTTTTTTTGTAGTATGGTAATTAAGTATTAGGTACGTTTTGTACATTTAGTGTATCCATAGTATATAATGAAATATTTACCACAACAAAATATCAATTAATTAAACAAATGATGGAAATAAAGTATTGAAAGTAGGAAATATAAAAACCGTGATGCCATCACTATGAGGGAATAAATGATCACAAGGCATGAGAATCATCAAAGATAAATGAATAGTAGAAATGATTGATCGATGTATTAAAATTATAAGTTGAAGATTTCGTTCAAAATCTTGACAGTGTCATCTGGAGTTTGAACAGAGTGACCAATAGTTCTTGGGTCAACGAAGATTTCATAATCGTTACCACCAACTTGAGTCTTGTCACCGAAGAAGTGGATTTCCTTAAAACCGTCCTTCTCAACGTGTTGTAGACAGTAGGTCTTGTCCCAACCGGTTGGGAAAACATCGAAGGAGATTTGACCACCGATAGAGTAAGTCAAACCGTAGTCTGGGAATTCCTTCTTCAAAGCTTCGACGAACTTGGCTCTGATGTTGTGTTCCTTGTCGTATCTTTCGAATTCGTTTCTTTCTTCAGTAGAAGCGTTTCTACCAATTGGGGAAACGTTGATCATACCGTTTCTGAATTCTAGGAAAGTACCTCTTCTCTTTGGCAAGTCAATGTTAGCCAAGTAACCCAAGATGAACTTAGCCAACTTGTTGTACTTTTCTTCACCAATCCAGTTGATGAAAGATTGGGAAGCCAATTGCTTACCCATTCTGTAAGCAGTCAAACCGTTTTCAGAGAAAGCGTAGTCGAATTCATTTAGAACGTTTGGACCTAATTGTTCTAATTGCTTGCTCAAATCAGAACCACCAACGAAACCAATGCAGACCTTCTTTCTCAACTTGACCAAAGTATCTCTGACTTTGTCAGAGACGGTCAATCTAGCTGGAGTCAAAGTACCATCGACATCGAAAAGAACCAAGACATCTGGTCTTTCCTTGTAGGCAAATTCTTGTGGAGTAGACATATCAATTGTGTTATTTAGGTGTGGTGAGTGAGTTGTAGAACTTTTTTGTCAGTTTTCTGAGCCTTAAATAAAGACAATTGCAAGAGAGTACTAAGAAACAAATATAATGCAAAGAACCAAAACTCGAACAGTGATGAAATAAACACGGGAATATATATAAAAAGAAAATTATTTGATGGATAACATTTCTCGACAAGTCAATGTAACACGAAAAATCTGAATTTTTTTTTCGTTTTTTTTTTTTTCAGTTCTTCACGTTAAAATGCAGACTTTTTCTAAATTTCCACTTATCATCCCATTGTCAATCGAGACACCAAACAATAATTATCTTGATTACCTGGATGGTAGTATGTTGCCCAAGATTCATGTGATACAATTTTGCTTCTGCAATTGCATTGAAGGCACTGTATTTCTGTAGAAGCTTGTGTATATTGTCTTTCTGCTCTCTTCTGTTTTTTCCTATTTTTGGATAATTTTGATATTTCTAGGTTGCCAGTAGGTATCGATCGAGTCAAGAAGAGGAAAGTGCAAAAAAAAGCAATATTTGAGAAGCAAGACACAAACTAGTGAATACTGTACTGTTAATTAAATGAGCATTGTGGCACAGTCTTTAACCGAGTAGAGGAAAATCCAATTCGATTTCAAGACGGCTACTGTACATCTTCTTGGACTGCGCCAAAAAGTGATAACGATAGCAAGCCATCAAACCAGTTAATACTGGGCAATTCCAAAGTATCAATATTATTTATATTTTCGTAAGTAAAGAATCAGTACTGTAGGGAGGCTCACTACTGATATACTTTGACATGATTATATATATTCCATACAATTTGAAATTAGAAATGAGGATTATCTTTGGCAGGATAACCCGTATGTCTAAGTCTACATGTACAACAAGTCATATAGAGAACAGATTGCTGGGCACTATCTAAGAAATATTAATGTACTTCTGTCTTGAAAAAAAAGACTACTGTCTTAGCTTATTGATTCCTGTAAGTTTATATATATAAAAAAAAAGAAAGATAAAATATCTATATTATTTTTCAGATGTAAAAGTTTAGAGGAGTTTAAGCTTGAGCAGTGAAGTAGTCTGGGAACTCTCTGAAGTTTTCTTCTAGAGAACCCTTCTTGGACAAGAACTTGACGAAAGCACCGTCGTCCTTGACTTCACCGGCGTCTCTTCTCTTGACGTATTCAGCTCTGTCCAAGTTGGTGAAACCCCACTTCTTAGACATGATGATCTTTTGTTGACCTGGGAACTTGTATCTAGCTCTTCTCAAACCTTCAACAACGACGTCCTTGTTGTTGTCCTTGGTTCTGACGGAGAAGATAATTTGACCAATGTCAACACGAGCGGCCAAACCGTGAGGCTTACCCCAAGCACCTCTCATACCTTGTTGCAATCTATCCGCACCGGCACAAGACAACATCTTGTTGATTCTCAAGACGTGGAATGGGTGGACTCTGACTCTCAAGTGGAAAGAATCTCTACCCGAGATCTTGGTCATGTACTTGTTAGCACAGATACGAGCGGCTTCCAAAGCTTCAGAGGACAATTGTTCCAATTCGTTGGAGACCAAGTGGACACACAATGGGAACTCATCGACAGTGGCCTTCTTCTTACCCAAGTCATAGATTCTGATCTTGGAGTCTGGAACAGCTCTGTTGTATCTAGACTTTGGGTAAGGCTTGTTCTTTTGGTATCTGTAACATCTAGCTGGTCTTCTAGCCATCTTGAATTAGTTGATTAGAGTGTTTATTATTACTATATAAGAAAATAAGACAACACAATAGGTAGAAACAAATAACCAAGTGCGCAAAGAAAATTATCTTGTTCAACAGCTCATTGCTTTATATACTAACAGATGGAATTAGCAAGCCCAAGAGCGAGGAAGGAAAAATTTTTTTCTCTTCCTTTCACGCACAAGCAGAATGAAAAAAAAAATTTTCTTTTGCATCTTTCGCACCTTTGTGCGGGTTTGTCTGAGGTAGTTTTTGTTTCCTGTCCTCTTCTCTCCTTTCCCATCTGCCTGTACGTGAGAATTACATAAAAATCACGTAGCTGGTGATATGGTTTATGTATGATGCACACACACACACACACGCACACACAGAGAGAGAGACTTCGTGGGGGGCGAAGAGACAGACTTATCTGTTGGTCGTATATGCGTATGTAAGGTGTACGTGGCCTATGACCATTTTAGTCCGAGTGTACGTACTATCATGTGGTTATCGTGTGTAAAATGACCATATACCTTAAGACGTTAATGCATGTGATTTTTTTCACTTTCTGAAAATTTTTAAAATTTTTTTTTTTGGAAATTTTTCTGGAAAGTTTTTGCGAAGCGTAGTGTTCTGCGCTTTTGCCTGGGGGGGGGGGGGGGAAGGTGGATTGTAAATTAGCGATGCGATGCGATGCGATGCGATGAGCTTAGCTGGTGGAATACTATGGATGACTAGCTTAGCGTTTAGTTATGTTATTCTACTGTTGCGTTATCTATTGTGTTGCTTTATAATAGATAGAAATATATCTGTATATATATATAAATAAGTTTAATTCCGTAAAGAAGGGTAGAATACTTTGCGAATAGGTGAAAGGTATGGGTAGATATAGTGTTAAGAGGTATAAGACGAAGAGAAGAACGAAGGATTTGGATCTGATCCATGAAGAGTTGAAGTCCCAGGAGAAGATACAGCAGCTGTTGAACCAGCCGCTGGATGAGACGAAGCCCGGTCTAGGTCAGCACTACTGTATACACTGTGCCAAGTATTTCGAAACTGGTATCGCTTTGAAGACACATTTGAAAGGTAAGATACATAGAAGAAGAGTGAAGGAGCTAAAGTCGATACCGTACACGCAGGAGGTTGCCGATGCTGCTGCTGGTGTTAACTTGAACAAGTTCCTGAACAGCGTGGAGAAATTCAAGAATGTCGATAACCAGGTGAAAGAAACCAACGAGACCCTCCTGAAGGAGCATTTGGATCAAACACTCGAAAATATCGAAACCACAGAACCTACATTACCATGGGCTGATAACAACAAGAAATCTGAGACCACTGAGCCTTCCACAACGTCCACCGCTGTGGAAGTTGCTACTGAGGCTGTAATGGAGCAATAATTTTGTATGGAGTTGCTAAGTAGCTAAAAAATGGCGATACTTATAACTACTTTTTATTTCACTTTAAATTAAACAAAAAAAAAATAACAAAAATGGAACTTTAATTAAATTTCATTTCGGATCGATCCGAAATTAGATTTTAATATGCATACTTGTATACTATAACTTTTACTTCTATTGGATTTACTACGTTTATTTTTCATGAAATGCATTCATATAACCAATATGTTGTGTACTTAGGTTGGCTAAGGAGGGCTATTTCTAAATTATGTAGACTCATCACACTTGGCCAAAGTCATAGTGTCCCGATGATTCAGCATGTCTAGCAACTTCGCGTTCTCCAACAAATTCTGCCTTGCATACATTACATTTGATTTTGTCCTTACGGGTATTGAATTTATAACCACTAGATCTTAGCTTTTTGCCAAGCTCAATAGTCTTTTCCAAGACATTGCCGCATAACTCTGGTTCCGATATCAAATTAAATACAGTTTTTCTAACATTGGTTTGACGATATAATAGTTCAACGGCATCATAATGAACACCGTTAAATGAAATTATGACAAAATCATCGAATTTTTCTTCATTAAACTTGCCTATTGTTAGCGTATCTAAATCAAGCACATATATAGCGATTTTCAGATAATCAGAAAGAATACCAATCTCTATACCTCCACCCCAAGCATCTTTTTGTAGTATCCATCTTGCGTAATCTTCGTTAGATTGATCCAGTATGGCGGCATTGTATTTGGCTTTGTCGCTCAAAATTTCCTGGGCGCATATTTCTCGTAGTATCTGTGTTAATGAAATTTTTTGATGTTTTGTATAGCTAATTGAATGAAATAAACACGAATTATCGTCAGGTACTTCATGAATTTGTAGAATTTCATTATTAGTTTCATCAACTCTAACTTGATTACCCTTCAATTCAACCGGAGGTGAATTATTTTTGCCACTTATACTAGATGACACATCTTTTGGCATATCGCTGATCAAAGTAACCTTTTCCCCTGTACTTAATCCTAGTTCTTCTAAGTTTCTTCCTAGATTCTCTTCTGTTATATCAACTTTTTGAGGTGGATAACCAAACCGTATACCTTTGCATTGGTCACCCGTAACTTCAATTACCTCCAACAAATCCTTCAGCAACTTATCATTTCCAATTGTAATTACTTTGTCAGCACCTGTAATACCAACCACTTTTAACCTCATATTTGATTAAGGTAATATGTTTGTGGTATCGTATTCTTCAATTATACAGACTGTGTGCCTTTTGAAGTTTATTTGATTCTTGAAATATTTCGAGCACAATGGCATTTCCCTAATTTTTCGTTTCGGACTCGCGCTACTGGCAATCCTGAAAGACGATGAGTACTATAGATTCTACGTTTCCTTAATTCAATATTATATACAACTAGTGAAAATGAAGCATGTGTTACAGACAATATATTAGCATGCATAGTTTGATATTATGTTGGGTAAAAAAATTGTCATTTGTCATAAAGTCGTCACATTATTATTTTACAATCAAATTTGCCAATAGTAAGATAATAATGAGAATTGATAATCCTATCGAGATAGTGCCCTCAAAATGGCGATTTTTGTCTATAAACTCGACTTTATCAGTGAGTGCTTCTATTTTCTTGGTCAATAATTTAATCGTAACCTCTAATTCGTTATCTTCTTCTATTTCGGCAATGGCATAAGGATCAAAATTATCAGAGATTTCTGAAACTTCTGTATTCTCGAATATATGCTTCTGTGCTAAGGGTATTAGTAACTCAATAGCATCAGTTTGTCCAGTTTTGCAACCAGATTCTATAATCCCTTTTATCCAACTGCTTCCTGACCAGTCAATCCAGTATGATATTCTCAAGTTGCAGGTTCTTTCTGATTGCCAGGTAAACAGAAACCTAGTCTTAGTTGAGAAATTACCACCACTTGGGACTTTGGGAGTTTTTGTAGTTGTTATCATATCTATGTAATTACGAGGTTCATAGGCTTTTATCACATCTTCAGCATAGCATATAGTTGATTTAGGACCAACTGGAAACCCCAAAGGTTTTACGTATGAGTACTTGCGCATTTTTTCCCCCAAATCATTAGTTTGGTCAAACTTACTGATATTAGATACCTCTGTAGCCTTTTGAGCACTCAAATATTCAGATAAGAATTCGGCTTTTGGATCATTGAACATAATCTGGAAGGCTAATCCAGGTGGGGCATCGAGATTTACCTCAGCAAGAAATGTTTCGTATTCTAGGTCATGATTAGTTGCCTTCGCTTCATTTGTTATTAGGTAGGGTCCATAGTAGCTAATTCGAGACGCCCTTTCATTTAGTTTAAAAAATACTTCATCGATATTGTCGATTTTCCGAACATAATCTGACATTGATACAGAGGAACTAGATCCTGAAGAGGTGTTCAATGAAGGTGGTATTGACTTCTCCTTCTCACTAACAACAGCTAATTTTTCATCAATAGATTGATTATCTTCTACTTCATCATTCTTTGCTAAGAGAGTTCTTGACCATATTTCTTTAATTAAGTCAAACGCATGGTCACGGGAAACAAAACCGTTGAATTGTGTTTTCCCTTGCTCGGTTTCAATTGAGATGGCATTGGGGAATATTCCTACTGAAGAAGTCTTGTCTATATAAGTGATTTCTCGGAAAGAGATTAATACCTTAGATACCCAACCTAAGATCTTCGAGTTAAAGCAGAGGTATGACTCAGACACGTAAAGTGTGCCTTGGTAAATAAACTCGCGGCTAAGGGTACAGTTGAATTCATCAAGTAGCCTGTCCTCTTTCGGGATTGACGTAAAAATGTTATGGAAATCTACATTTCTACCATAGGATGCGTAATGAAAATGTGTTCCTTCATATTTATCCTTATCATACAGATTCGGATCATAATCAAACTCCCCTTTTTCTTTGGTGTGATCAACCTTTTGTAAAGGCGAAGAAACAGATGGTGATTGTGGCACATTTGAATTAGATTTTATGGATTTCTTCCTCGTATGTGATGGATTTCTTCTATGTGAGATGATATTTGGGGAGTTAGGATTGGAACTTCCTCTTGATTGATTACTGTTGTCTTTATTTGCTGACCCAGAAGACAATGAAAAAGCTTGAAGCATGTTATTCATAAACATTGAAGGTGATGTATTTTCTTCCTTGAGTGCATCATTATCAGTCTCATTTGTAGCAGAGTCAAGAGTCTTAACTTCTGAGTTGGAGATCACATCATCGGTATAATTCTTATCTATAGCATCCCATTCGGATCCAATCTTGGCATTATTGCTATCTAAGGAAGTATCAATTGGCTCTAAAATTTCTCTTTGTATGTCTTTTGAGGCGATCTGATCACTAAAATCTCTTTCATTGGGTAGTAGTTTAGACTCTTTTAAATTCTTATTCATGTTCATATCTTCATCATCTGACATTGAAGAGGTTCTGCGTTGTTCTGAAGTTTTATTATTACTTTGATTAGGTACAAATGGTGGTTCTAGTATCTTACTATCCTTTTCTATTCCAAGTCCTAAAGTATCCGGCATAGCTTCTGGTTCACTGTTATTTGCAGACAAATTGCCCGAACTGCCACCAACAGGCTCCCAGTCATTTAACTCTGAATCTGACATAATAATGTTCTTTAAGCTATTCAAAGAAACCTAGTATTATCTAGACTTGGTATCTTCTAATCAAAAAAAAAATATCTCATCAATCGTAAGCCACCCTTTTTCAACTCGTATAGCAAAAGTGTAGGCCTAAGGAAATAGAAGTGCTGTTATGTAGGACGTCTTATCAATAACGTATAGTTGAAAAACTATTTAAATATGCATATTTCTGATAATAGATACTGAAATATTTTATGAGTTTATCGATGATCTATATTGCTGGCAAAAGTGTCAAAAAGGTTCAGTGAGCTTCTATTCCCCTAAAATCATCACTCAAAAATCAATGTACGAATTAGATAATGATCATCTGTTCGTAGTTGCGTTTGCCTTTAATTTGCCTTCAAACCGTTTATCTTTTGAGCGCTATGGATTGTACAATTACTGTAAAGCTATATTGTTAACCTTTTACATATAATAAAAACTTAGGCATTGTAGCTTCCTTAAAGTAACTCTTCAGTTACAATAGGCTTTTCCTTCCAAATCACGGAATTTATGTTTTGGTGCTATATTTTGTAGTGATTGTTCTTAGATATTAATTTGCAGCCCCAAAGACAAAAGTTGCTGCCATGGTATTCACTATACTGTTGTCAAAAGAAAATTTAGAAAAGACTCACCTGCTTTACAAGACCGCACTTCCAAACACTACAGTTTATTCATTAACCTCATTTATAGCCCATATTGCTTCTATTTACCACATAATACCTGTTTTGGGGGTGATGAACGTTGGTATAATCCCCAGAATTACCTTCCAGTCACTGGCTACGTATACTTATCCCATCACTTTTGACATTTCTTGTTCTTTATTTCCTGCCAAAATAAACTTAACTTCCGGGAATTATTGAGATTCACTGCATCTTTTGTGCCTTAACTGATGATCATCTTAGTCTCTGGTGAATTCGCCTCTCGTATTACTCTGGGGTGCCCCATAAACCCTGCCAGCAAAATTGACTATAGCACCCAATTTTTCTCTTTGTGTGAATCTAACTGTATTCATTTTTATTTTTAAATCATACATTAAAACTCAAAGAATTATTTAATAATATTGCTCTCAATTTTGGTGCACTAAATAAATCACAGATTGTCGTGATACTGAGAATCCAATATTTATATCGAGACTACTTTAGAAAATATCAGGTTTCTTTAGAACATATTCCTGTCAAAAAGTCGACTACGCTGAAAAATATTCCTGTTGCCTTATTTGAATGAGGAATCGAGATAGTATGCTTTTTTCAGCACTCTTGTTCTGGTTATTTGGATGCTTGGCATCTGCCAAGACCCATACATTTCATTTTACCGTGGACTGGGTCGATGTGAAGCTCGATAACGGTGCACACAAAAAAATGATTGGGTTTAATGGGCAGTGGCCAATGCCCGATATTCACGTAATGAAAGGCGATAGAGTTGAGTTATACCTCACTAATGGCTTCAAGGATGGCATGCAGACTTCATTGCATTTCCATGGGTTATCCCACAACACAAGTTACGGTAACGAGATCCAAAGAGATGGACCCTCTATGGTCACACAGTGTCCAATAGTCTCTGGTCAAACCTACTTATATAACTTCACAGTGGCTGACCAGGTAGGTACTTATTGGTATCATGCTCATGAGGGTTCTCAATATGGTGATGGCTTTAGAGCAGCGTTTGTGATACATGATGACGACTTCCCATATGAATTTGACGAAGAAATGACTCTATCTGTCGCTGATCTTTATTACAAGCCTTATTATGAGATAAAGGACACGTTTCTATCTCGCTATAATCCTACAGGTGCGGAACCTATTCCTCAGATGCTGTTGTTCAATAACTCTGCCAGTGGAAGGCTATATTTTGAACCAGGCAAAACCTATTTGTTAAGAATTATCAATATGGGGCTGTTTGTTTCACAATACTTGTCAATAGAGGATCATGAAATGACTATAGTAGAGGTAGATGGTGTGTACACCAAAAAGAATGTCACCAGTATGCTATATATTGCCACAGGCCAAAGAATGAGCGTTCTGATAAAAGCAAAAACACAAAACCCAAAGAGAAATTATGCTTTTATGCAACTTTTGGATGAGACAATGCTAGATGTTATAGATCCTGATCTCCAACTGAATGTCACAAATCAGCTTATTTACGACAAATCAAAGCCTGATGCCAAAGAGTATTTTTTTGATAGCTTGGAACAGGCAACAAATGAATTTTATTTAGAGCCTTATGAAGATATTGATATTTTCGAGTCTTATGACAAACAAATCACTTTTGATGTAAGGATGAAAAATCTAGGAGATGGTGTCAAGTATGCATTCTTCAATAACATTACTTATGTTTCTCCAAAAATCCCCACATTAACTACAGCACTGACATCCGGAAAATTGGCGACTGATCCCAGAATCTATGGTGACAATATAAATGTTGTTGTGCTAGAACAAAATGAAATAGTTGAAATTGTGTTAAATAACTATGACACTGGTAAACATCCATTCCATATTCATGGTCATAACTTCCAAATAGTTCAAAAATCTCCCGGTTTCCATCTTGATGAGACCTTTGATGAAAGTGAGCAAGACCAAAAAACTGTCAGGTACAATGAGTCGGCACCTCTTATGGATTTTCCTAAACATCCTATCATGAGGGATACACTTGTATTGGAGCCTAATGGACATGCAGTTCTACGTTTTAGGGCTGACAATCCCGGTGTATGGATCTTCCACTGTCATGTAGACTGGCATTTAGAACAGGGTCTAGCTGCTGTGTTTGTTGAATCACCTTTAATCTTACAAGAACGTGAAACACTAAGTCAAAATTATAAAGATGTGTGTTCTGCTGCGGGCATGGTAAATGTTGGAAATGCTGCAGGAAAAAGTGAAGATTGGTTGGACATGAGTGGATTGCCAAGACAGCCAAAGCCATTGCCCGATGGCTTCACTGCTAAAGGGTATTTTGCCTTTATCATTTGCACTCTAGTTGGGCTGTGGGGTTTATACAGCATTTCTAATTATGGATTTTCTGAAGTTATTCCAGATGATAAGGCTGTATTTGATTCATTGAAAAGTGTTTTGGATTCTAATGGCATCTCATACAGTCTAGAAGAACATTGATGACAAGGACTGTATATAATTTTACGATTAGAAATTTTTCTATATCTTGCATATATAATTTCATAATATTAACTGCATATTCCGAATAGGTTACTTTTTTAATAGTCAGATAATTTTTGTGTCCAAAATTTGACAGTCATAAAATGAATGATTACTATAACAATAGAATAAAACACGCACTTGGGACATGATTTTTATAGAGTTGATGTTTGATGAATATTTAGTTTATCATTTATTCTGACTTAATTTGTGAGTTTAAGAAATTAAAAAATCATAGATCTCACAAGAATGCATAAAGTCGATAGCATACCTAAACTCACTGCATTTGTGTTTTTAGTTGGTTATTTAATGGGGATGGACCTCAGTTCTCTGGGTGTTTTTTTGAATGGAGATGAATTTTTGTCCTATTTTGGGACGCCGACACCAATTGAACAAGGACTCTTAATGGGCGCAAACCCATTGGGTGGCCTAATAGGAAGTATATTTTATGTTAGTCTTGCAAAAAATTGCGCAAGATTATATTCATTTAGACTTTCTACTATTATTTGGCTAATTGGTTGCTTTATTGGAATTTTTGTGCTTGAAATTTGGATGATCGCAGTTGCTAGGTTTTTGAAAGGTATAACAATTGGAATGCTTTCCATTCACATTACTAACTATATAAACGAGGTGTTTCCTAGTAATATTAGAGGGAGAACATTGGCATTTGTCCAAGTGGGATACACTTTTTCAATATTTTCTATGCATTATTATTGTGTTGGATTAAATACATTTAAGAGCCATTATGCATTCAGACTTGCTTGGGGATTAGAATTCATTCCAGCAGTAGCAGTAATAATTGCAACATTTTGGATCCCAGAATCACCTGTTTACCTCCTAAGAAATACAATCCCCCAAATATCTCAAAAAGTCGATGTCATGAAAGTCAAGCATGACTCAGACAGTGAGAATGATCCCGCTGATATCTCAGATAATATTGATGATATATTCGAATTCGAGTGCACAAGCCGTATATTATGTATCAGAGAGATTCTGAAGCTAAAAACGAGAAACAGATTATTAATGGGAACAATATTGCAAGTATTGGTACAATTTACTGGCATTAATGTTATTCTGTATTACATCACCTATATCTGTGAGATGGCAGGATTGAAAGAGGAAACAAAACTCTTGGTGTCTGCAGTACCTTATTTCATTAATGCAGTACTGAGCTGCTTTCCGTTATTATATTTAGATGTAGTACCAAGAAAACTCATGACTGTTATAGGTTCTGCGCTATTATCAACAATAATGATTGCAATCGCAATATTAATGTCAACAACAGGACATGAGATAGAGCCTATTAAGGGAAATAAATCACTAATATGGATAGTGCCAAAAGTTCCAGGGCTGTTTATTTTATGCTTATGCTTTCTTTTTGTAGGTATATATGCCTTGAGCATTGCCTGCGTTCCTTGGATTTACACTTGTGAGTTGTTGCCTGTCAGTGCCAGGGCAAAAGGTTTGCCGATATGCATGGCTATAGGCTGGCTGATGAATTTTTGTATTACTATGACCGGACCATTACTGATGCAATATTTAAAATGGGGTGTATATTTATTATTTGGGTCAATAACTCTATTGCTGGCTTTTTCAGTTCTGCTATTGTTCCCAGAAACTATGATAGAAAAGGACCGCAATTCCATTAAAAACTGCCATAATGAGGACTATAGTATAGAAGACATCAAAACAACAGTTTCATAGTTTATAATACCTTGTAAGACCTTATAAGCTATAAACAATATTTAGTATATCACATCAAATAAACACAGTAATTATTATATAAGATCAAAAGCATTTTGTTGTTCAAGGTTTATGTATTTACACGCTCTACTTCAAAAACATAAATACGACACTATTTACAAAATTTTACAACCCATTTTTCTTTAATTCATTTAATAAATTCAAAAGTCATAATTTTTTTATCTATTAGATTATTAGCACATTCGTTTAATAAACAAATGTAATAATTAATATAAAGAAAAGTAATAAAATAAAACATAAAAGGCTATTAATTAATAGAATATAAAAATACACCAAGAGGCTAGATTTATACTCTACTGAAAGGAAAAGAAAACAATAGAATTTTTTATTAAAATCATTGAAGTTAATACAAAATTATCAAAGGCTATAATATTAGAAACATGTTCCTTCGAAGTAACATTGCACAACTTCCTGATAATTCTTTCAAATCCAATACTGTTTCCCTTATGATCGAACCCGCATTCCGTAGTTCTAAGCAGCTTAGAAACACTTGTGGTGAACAATGGATGGACCACTTTCGTCGTATTCTTGCTTGGAGATCCACATTTGTTGGAAAGTGGTCAAAGAAGCTAGAATAGAACCACCGATCCAGACAGAGTACTTTCTCTCTGGTGGAGCAATGATCTTGACCTTCATAGAAGATGGAGCCAAAGCGGTAATTTCCTTTTGCATTCTTTCAGCAATACCTGGGAACATGGTGGTACCACCGGACATGACGATGTTACCGTACAATTCCTTACGAACATCAACATCACACTTCATGATGGAGTTGTAAGTAGTTTGGTCAATACCAGCAGATTCTAGACCTAGAACAGATGGGTGGAACAAAGCTTCTGGAGCTCTGAATCTTTCGTTACCGATGGTGATGACTTGACCATCTGGCAATTCGTAGGACTTTTCAATGGAGGAAGATTGAGCAGCGGTTTGCATTTCTTGTTCGAAGTCCAAAGCGACGTAACATAGCTTTTCCTTGATGTCACGAACAATTTCTCTTTCAGCAGTGGTGGAGAAAGAGTAACCACGTTCACTCAAGATCTTCATCAAGTAGTCAGTCAAGTCTCTACCAGCAAGGTCGATTCTCAAAATAGCGTGTGGCAAAGAGAAACCGGCGTAAATTGGAACAACGTGGGTAACACCGTCACCAGAGTCCAAAACAATACCGGTGGTTCTACCACTGGAGTATAGAGACAAGACAGCTTGAATGGAAACGTAGAAGGCTGGAACGTTGAAGGTTTCGAACATGATTTGAGTCATCTTTTCTCTGTTAGACTTTGGGTTCATTGGAGCCTCGGTCAACAAGACTGGGTGTTCTTCTGGGGCGACTCTCAATTCGTTGTAGAAAGTGTGATGCCAGATCTTTTCCATGTCATCCCAGTTGGTAACGATACCGTGTTCGATTGGGTAACGCAAAGTCAAAATACCTCTCTTGGATTGAGCTTCGTCACCGACGTAAGAGTCCTTTTGACCCATACCGACCATGATACCTTGGTGTCTTGGTCTACCGACGATGGAAGGGAAGACGGCTCTTGGAGCATCGTCACCGGCGAAACCGGCCTTACACATACCGGAACCGTTGTCAATAACTAAAGCAGCAACTTCTGTACATATACTGGTTTTTAAAAAAAAACCACTTCTTTATCCCTGAACTATAATCATTTGGTCTTCTTTACTTTGGTCTTCTCCTAATGTTGATCTTACCTTCTGCTGGGGGAAGACTTTCATTTACCTAATTGCAATGTGTGAACACCATTACCGGGCAATAACTGATGGAAGTGGACTACATATGTTGTAGAGGTAGATCCTATTTTGTAGCCATGGCTTTCGATTTCTCACCTAAAACAAAAGCATCTCAATAAGTAGAGAAACGCAAAGCCCTAGGCCATAGTAGCATCTGTGCAGGTAGTTGTGCCTGTTCATCAACCGTTGCCACTTTTACATTATATGTATGATCCCAATGCCCACCACTCCTAACTCATAATCGCCGTCACCCTTAGAAACCCACGCACGCGCCTATCATGATTTTCCCAAAAAAAAAATTGTCGCTTCGCACAGGGTGAAAAAAAAATGTACGTGCCATAGGCTAATGTGGCAAAGGGGGAAACGATAGAGAGGTGAGAGGATAGTCTCAGCAATTGATCCTGTGAAAATGGTTATGAAAGCAATTGAGTATCGCAGCGGTTATTCACACACGCAGGGACAGATAAGAAAAGGAGATCAAAAGAAAAACCGTAGAAAAAACCAAAATGAAGTTCAATGCAGTAGAAAGTAGTTTAAAATTTTAAAATAGAAATTGTTAGTATTAATGCAATTGAATGAAATAGCGAGAGTCATCTCTAGAGTATTTGACTAGATTATGGCCATACTCTAGTCAACACTGGGTAACTCCTTGTTGTGTGTAGAAGAAATTGTTTATCAGCGACCACACGCCCTATATTATAGGAGTTATAGTCTTGTCTATCCATAGTAGTCGAACATACCAGAATCCATTGTTATATATTTGTTGTTTTGATTGTTGTTTGTGTTGGTACCAATGGGTGAAAGAAAGAGTATATTGAGAATAATATAACAAGCCCAAAAAATCAACTAAAAAAGTGTTATATATCAATTAAACTTGTCTCTTGGGAAAGAAATTTACTTAAATACAAAGAAACAAGAAAAACAACCAAAAAAGCATTTTTGCCTGGGAAGTCTCACAAGAGACACGGAACACCCTCCTCTCTTTTCTTCGAGCAGAATCCGGCAGAGGATCAGAACCCGTCACCAAAAAAAAGGACGATCGCTATGGGATTTTACTATTGGGATTTCACTATGGGGGGGGGGGGGAGGAGAGGGCCAGGGCTTCTCAGTTAGCAGTTGGAAGTTTGCAATCGCTTTTCAACTGCTACTGCTACTGCTACTGCTAGTGCGACTGCGACTGGTTGTGAACGTTTGTGAGCTGTTTCTTGCTGCGGGCCTTCTTATAGAAGTGGGAAAGTTCATGGGAAGGTAGCTGGGATTCCTACACTTCTGCGGTGTATTGACTGGGGCTTGTGCTTTTGTGAGATTACCCAACCCAAAAGGAGGCTAAAATCCAGTTCTTGCTTTGTACGGCTCCTTTACTTGCTTTTCCTCAAAGATGTGGTCCTCCATCCCCTTGCTAGTGTACATCGCTGCGTACGTGTATATGTGGGCCTATCTCTTCGAAGGAGGACGGTGGGTTCAAGGGGGACGTGGATGGGGACACTCTGATTGCTTGCTGTTACTATCAAAAAAAGAATATTTGACGCGCTGGCAAGTTGATTTCACCGTAGGAGAGAAGCAGGAGAGGGAAATGAGAGTACTGTTCATGTGATGCTGTCGAAGATGATAACTTTGCTATACCACTATGTGGGTGGCCTTGTATGTGGCCGGATTGCTGCCAGGATCGTTATCTCTCACGTAAGCGTTTGCGTGGAAGTGTGAATATATTAAGGCAGTTAACAAAACATCGATATACATCACATTGATTTTTATATGAAGTGGACTATAGTCGCTGTACTGTTTTTGACTAACAATTTTTTGTCTTGACAATATTACTATATATGGATATAAGCATTAGATAATAGAATAATATATTGGTGTTGGGAAATATAAGGAAAAAAAAAAAGATATAGTATTATATTAAAAAGGTAAAAAACACACAAATTGAGGCCCCCTGGAAAATCAGAAGACCAGTTTATGGAATTGCAACAACAAATGTTAATAGGCACAACCAAACAATGAGAGAAAAAAAACAACACATCATGCATTGCAAATGTACGCCATTCATTGCTACCAGTTCAGGTAATCGAATAGCATTGTTGTTTATTGGTAATGATCTAGTTGATATTTGATAAAAAACAAAAATGGCGCAATTACCTATTGTATATCTCTGTTCTTTATTTTCTTTTACCAAAGTGTTTTAACTTTTGCATTTCATAGCATATTACTTAACAACAGCTACTACCAGATTGTGTCAAACTTTGACCCTTCAAGTTCACGTTGCCTTTGTCGTTCTTCTTTTGTTGTGATTCGTTCATGTTTTGTTGTGTCATGCTCTCCTTGATTTGTCTAGCCATGGTCAAGAAAGCTTCTTCGACATTGGTAGAGTCCAAGGCACTGGTCTCCAAGAAAGGCATCTTATTAGCCTCAGCGAACTCCTTGGCAACATCATATTCAACCACACGCTTATCAGCCAGATCACATTTGTTACCGACCAATAGTTTTAGCACGGTAGATGTGGCGTAACGGTCAATTTCTTGCAACCACATCTTAACACCGTTGAATGACTCCTGATCTGTGACATCATATACAATAATGATACCATGGGAACCACGGTAGTATGATGATGTGATAGTTCTGAAACGTTCTTGTCCCGCAGTGTCCCATATTTGTAACTTCACGGTCTTACCATCCAACTCGACAGTCTTAATCTTGAAATCCACACCAATGGTAGAGATGTAGTCATTTGTGTAAGTGTCATCTGAAAACCTCAGTAGCAAACAGGATTTACCGACACCGGAATTACCTATCAGTAGCAATTTAAACAAGTAGTCGTATTCGCTGTTCATTATGTCTAGTTATTATTGTACTTACCGGTTCTGAAAACAAATGGGATAGTTGTTTTGTTCTTTCTGCTCTTTTGTTATTTGAACCTATAGGTTAAATCGAAAATGAGGAGGCAACGATTATATGTGTAGTCTTTTTTCTTGTTGTGTATTAGTGGCCAGATATAATCCTTGTATAATACCAACTGAGTCTATTTCAAAGTAATAAATATCGCTCTTTTCCAGTACACTGTTGTTTTTGCTAGGTAATCTTAAATGATCTCTCCTTTTCAAATTTTTTTTAGTGTTTTTCCTTTTTGCGTTAGAGAAATGCTTATAGAAAGTTTAAAATGAAAAACGCTCGAGCAGTATAGTAAGAATTATATTTAAAATATATACTAAAAAGTCAATAATAAACCGTATAATACAAAAGAGAAGGTTACACAGACCCAGAAAAGGGCATTATGATAATTGATGAAATAACAAATGAGATGGAATATGAGAACTCTAACTCACCTTACACTAACCCAGCTTTGACGGAAAAAAATCGAAAATGGCTTTCCCAAAGGATGGCAATACAGTGATTTTTGTGAGGAAAGCCAAAAACCCATATATAATTGACCCAAAGTGAAAGAGGCGAATTTCAATGAGCAGAAAATACTCTTAGAAGTGCAACTTATGTCCTTGGACCCCAGCTGACAGAAGGAAAAGAGGGAAAGAGGGAAAGAAAAGCTGAGAGAGATGGATCGGCATGGGGGGACAGCAAATAGTTCTGAACGAAGACACTGCTATGCGTTTTCTGTATGTGGGAAACGAGAAGATCAACGTGCAAAGCAAACCCTTGGATGACCACTCTTCGTAGTTAAGTATAGTTTTGTAAGTGTTGTTATCATCAACTACGCACATATACAAGTACACTTCCCAACTGCAAGACACTACCCTCAAGATGTGTTCCTGGCTCGCTTTACCCGGATACATGGGAGGCGATACACAGAAAAGCTGCTTTTTTTTGTGTATATCACGCGACTGCTGTAAAAAATGATGAGATGTGCTTAGAAGCAAAGGGAGAGAGATGTGCGGTTCTGTCTAACCCAAAAACGGGGACACAAAGAAAACAGCGCACAACGAACCGCCTGATACCTCACTGTCTCGACAAAAAGGGCCCCATTTACCCAAAAGAAGTATTACCTGTTTGGGTAAATATGTAAACAAACGAATAAAGGGCAAATCATAGATCCATTGATCTCTCTCTCTCTCTCTCTTTCTTTCTTCGTATGGACTCCATGTCTCTATGCGCTCTATTCCTACATGTGGACTTGTGGAGGATATTGCTGTGGGTGAAATTCATATAGAACATAGTGAATTTGCGACTAAGCACTTTTGATCCACCATATCTCCAGGTCTTGGCGGGAAGAATGACACGTAACTGTAGCAAGTATATTGCAATAGATATTCTAGATACAACAACACCTACTTACAGCAATAGCGACGTCTTCCAGGTTTTGTAGATATACTACGTCTTTCGACTAATGCATACCCCTCCTCTATATAGCATCTGTTGTGACCAGTTTAACTGTGGATCATTGGTGGGGATATACTATCTCTTCCAAGAACCAGATCTACAAAACTCAAATACACCCGCTCGCTGGCCAAATGGCTGGATGAGAACACCAAAGTATCAATTGGCTCTATCTATAGATACCAATATGCGGTAAGTGGTATTTTTAGGTCCGGGTAAAATCTCATTCTGGCAACCCATCTTTACCAAGAAAACACCGTAGCAAGGCAGCACATTTGCACTAGCAAGAGAGATCACACACAGAAGATTTTTTTCTTACTTTTCGAGTTTTCTCAAACAAAACAAAACAAGTTGTGTTAGCGGGATCGAGCGTTGGCGATACCCTCTGTGTGTAACGCCTGGGGTGCTCAAACAATAACACCCCGCCGATGTCGCCTACATCACCCTTTGGATATACCTTACGCATTGTAGTTGTAGTTGAAGCTTATCTATTCTTTGTAATAACAAATCTTCTGTACATTTATTAATTGAAATTTTTTTTTCTTTGGCGTTGCCATAAATAACAACGGGAATTCAAAAACCAGAAAAAACAATAAGCAAAGCTAAACAAAAAGGCTACATAACTGCAAATACCCTAGCTTCAAGATTATCAGCTAGCTACATACTATTTCACATATCAGACAAGTCAGTTTTTGTTTCACTTTAAAAGAGAACTGTTTTAGTTGTTGATACTTTTTTTTTGCCATTGAATAGTCTAACTTAAACAAGGAGCAACATACAATGAGAGAGATTATCCATATATCTACTGGTCAGTGTGGTAACCAGATTGGTGCCGCATTTTGGGAAACTATCTGTGGTGAACATGGCCTGGACTATAACGGTAACTACCATGGAACTGAGGAAATCCAAAGATCGCGTCTAGGCGTTTACTTCAACGAGGCCTCTAGTGGTAAGTGGGTCCCAAGATCTATCAATGTCGATTTGGAACCAGGTACTATCGATGCCGTGCGTACTTCTAACATTGGTAACTTGTTTAGACCTGACAACTACATCTTCGGCCAATCCTCTGCTGGTAACGTTTGGGCTAAAGGTCACTACACAGAAGGTGCCGAATTGGTTGACTCGGTGATGGACGTCATTAGACGTGAAGCCGAAGGTTGTGACTCTTTGCAAGGTTTCCAGATCACACACTCCTTGGGTGGTGGTACCGGTTCAGGTATGGGTACCTTACTGATATCTAGAATCAGAGAAGAATTTCCTGATAGAATGATGGCAACATTCTCAGTCTTGCCATCTCCAAAGACTTCTGACACTGTTGTCGAACCATATAACGCCACTCTGTCTGTTCACCAATTAGTCGAGTACTCAGATGAAACTTTCTGTATCGATAACGAGGCTCTATACGAAATTTGCCAAACAACTTTGAAGTTGAATCAACCATCTTACAATGACCTAAATAATCTTGTGTCAAGTGTTATGTCTGGTGTTACCACCTCTCTACGTTACCCAGGTCAATTGAACTCCGATCTGAGGAAACTGGCCGTCAACTTGGTTCCTTTCCCAAGACTGCATTTCTTCATGGTTGGCTATGCACCACTAACAGCCATTGGCTCCCAGTCCTTTAGATCATTGACTGTGCCTGAGCTAACCCAACAAATGTTCGACTCAAAGAATATGATGGCTGCTGCTGACCCAAGAAATGGTAGATATCTAACCGTGGCAGCTTTCTTCAGAGGTAAAGTTTCTGTCAAGGAGGTCGAAGATGAGATGCACAAGGTTCAAACTAAGAACTCTTCATATTTTGTCGAGTGGATTCCAAACAATGTACAAACCGCTGTTTGTTCTGTTCCTCCAAAAGATTTGGACATGTCTGCCACATTTATTGGTAACTCTACCTCTATCCAAGAACTATTTAAAAGAGTTGGTAACCAATTCAATGCCATGTTTAACAGAAAGGCGTTTTTACACTGGTATACTAGCGAGGGTATGGATGAAATGGAATTCACAGAGGCTCAAGCTAATATGACCGACTTAGTAAATGAATATCAACAATACCAAGAAGCTACTGTGGAGGAAGAAATAGAGGAAGGTGCTGAGTACATAACGGAAGAACAGCCAATGCCTGAAACTTTTGATTAATTAAAAAAATAATTCCAAAATATGACAACTATTTTTCATTTCTACCACATCTTTTTTTATATCTACAGTCACAGTGACCTAAATTCCTTTAACATCTTTTCAATTTAATATCATGTTTTTCTAGCTATATGATGCCCAACCTGTAAGAAATGATTCCATAGTGCTAATAATGTTGAATAGGACATTATTATAACTAAATCTATATTATGGAACAAATATTTGTCTGCCTACACCAAATCGTGAATTAAAATAGAACTATACTAATAGCGTCAAGCTCCTGCTTGATTAAGTGCTTTTTGACATTTGAATTCCTGACCCTAATACCTTTCTTGCGATTATAAAAAGATAATCGCAGACACAAAACACTACCGATGAGTTCTTATATTCTACAAGTCTATAACAACATTTCTTTCAGCGTCTGAAACTAAAAGCATGTTTTTTCATGTCAAAGGAAAGCCACAAACTATCGTGCATTATACCTTGGCTAATTACCGATTTTGTACCTTGCAACATATTCTAAATGGTAGCTACTACACTTATTTTCTAATCACCGTTTGAAAAGTTATAAAATCAACTACCATACCTCATCTTTTTTCGCCTACTATTCTCAATCCCAATTTTGGTATGAATAATTAAAAACCTTTTCTTTATGTATTATCTTTCCTATTATTTTTCTTTTCCGATTTTCATATGTTTTACCAACATATCTCTAAGATTTATTTTTTTAATTATTTTTTATATCTTTTTATAATATATAGTAATTGAAACCAGGTAACTTTACAAAGCTAGCTCTAAAATAGGGTACGCATAAAATTTCTATAATGTAAATGAACATCCTTTATCTACACGCTTATCATTCTCTATATACAATGCATAAAAATAATATTCCTCCATGCTGGTACTCTAACGATGTGATTACTAGTGTGGGTAACAAGAAAGTACGACTATCGATTTTGCGGGGGAGGAGGCATAGTGCCAAGCGAGAACCCGGGCAAGACGCAAAAATAAGACTAAATTTTCGCCTTGCTAACACAGAACACTAGTGTACCTTTCAAAGGTTTCGTGAATAAAGCAGAGAACAAATGCTGAAAAAGCCCACCAGGTAACTTTGACTTTATTTTTCAGGTGTCCTCACCACCATCAGAGTCCTGTCCGATACATTGAAATACCAGTTTTACACTACTACACAGAAGGACTTCGACAGTAAGAAGTTCGAAAGGATTATCTTTTGCTCTCTTCTATTATGTCAAAAAAAAAAAAAAAAAAAATGGAATCACAGTCCCGTTTTTCTTCATATGCTGAAGAAAGCACCGAAGAAATAACTTTCTGCAAGCTGATCCTGAGAGTAACTAGAAAGGTGAAAAAAAACTTCCCAACCTTCAAATTAGTAGAATAATCAACTTAGTCTTATTCGTTCTCTTATTAATATTGTACTTTGTATTGATATGCATTTCGAGATAGTAATCTATTTCAAATATCAGTTAAATCGATAGGACGAAGGATAGCATTTTGGCAACGTGAAAGTCAATAGGTGGTTCATACATTGCTGTCAATCCAAGTCACTTTAATATATCAATAATATTGTTCTGACTTCTTGGAAAGTTTAGGAACCATCACACCTGTGAATAAAACAGAACACTGATAAACTTAAAAATTGGTTAGTACTGTTCACTATTCTTTCCTTTCCTCTTTACTATATTTTATTCCTGTGAATTTTCTTTCTGTAAATATTGAACTGAAAACATAACTATTCTTCTAAAGATCACAAAATCTAAGAAATCTAAGAAAAAAGACCATACGATACAGAACTTATTACAATTTTACTTCAGGTTACTATAACAGCATTCATTACTTCATAAGGCAATATCAAAATCAATCATGTTAAGACAAAACGTCCAGAAGCTTAACAAAAAATACATCGTTGCAAATACAATAAGAACTATTTCCTCAAAAGGATCTAAATTACTTAAGCCAACGATAGAATCCTCCCTAACAGATATTGAAAGAGCCTCTTCTACTTCCTATAGCATTTTAGGAGGCTCTCAGAATAACATTCCTAGATTCGATACAGGTGCTAACTTTTTGTCATCTGTATTTGAAAAGTCAAAGCAAACCACCATAGAAGCAAACTTCCAAACATTTAACAAGTCTCATGCCGCAGCGAATCTGTCTATGTCACAAGCTCGTGATGTAATGCAACTATGGTCATTACTGGAAGCTTGTTTAAAATCTGATTACTTCGACAGAGCTTTTTCTATATTAGAGTCGCTTTATCAAATAAAATCTCACAGATCAAGCTTTATTGATGACTACAATATGTATTTGTTGGCATTTGTTAGACACCAGGGTGGTTCCATGGACTGTTACCGCATGAGCGATAAAGTTTTGAAAGATATAAGAGATGTCTTCCCAAATATTATGTTTAACGATAGAACAGTGGCTATCCTAATGCATCATGCACTTTCCAACGTACGTACACCTCAGGAACACGTAACGACTATTAATCAGATACAAAACTATTTTAAGATGAAAGTAGGCAACAGGAGAAATGTACTTTCAAATATCGATGTCTTGACAGTGGAAAACTTTAAAAGCCTGCTTTTAGAATATAAATTAATTAATGAAGATGAAGTCCCTGATCTACTGAAACCTCTTGTGATGGGTAACACAATAACAGAAAAAACAATTGAAAGTAATCCAAGTGTCCAAGCAATGGAATTTAAGGAAGGTCAAAGTACAGAGAACCCTAATAATAAGATTATAGAACAAACTGAAATCAAAACTGATGAAGTTGCTAAAGACTCTATTGTGGAGAAGGATGCTGACGAACTCCTAGCGGTAGACACCATAGGAATGAGAACTGTAAGACATGCTCTGATGGGACTTTCATTGACGGAAGAACAAAAGAAGAAACTTTCAGAGCTAGATAATTCAGTAAGCAAAAACATCATGAATATCGATGAAAGCAAATCAGTGGATTTTTTTGAAATATACAAGACCTTGGAGAACGCAGAAGATCAACAAAAATTTGATGATTTATTAAACACATTCAACTTCAAAAGGCAAGAAATGCTAGAAAGGAGAGCCACGGAGGCTGCGAAAGAAAGATGGAAGTTTGAGTTTGAGGAGGCAAAGGCAAGAGGGGACATTTCTATAGAGAAGTCATTGAATAGTAGACTATGGGAATGGTATAGTGCTATGCTGCCTTTAGTAAAGAAAGAAGCCAAAAAATGCATTGAGGAACTTAATAATTCCAAGTCTTCTTCAAGAAAATTATCAAGTAGATCAGAGTATGCACCATATTTTACTTTGGTTAACCCTGAAAAAATGTGTGTGATAACTATCCTTGAATTATTGAAACTAAATTCTACAGGCGGTGTCATTGACGGTATGAGAACTGCCAGGGCGGTTATTTCTGTTTCCAAAGCTATTGAACTCGAATTCAGATCTGAGCAACTTCTGAACAGTGAAAATCAAACATTCAAGGATATAAATAAAAAATCACATGAGTTCAAAAGGTACGTCCAATCAGCTAAGCGAACCTTCAGATCTATGGAAATTGAAAAATCCCGAATCATATGGCCTCAAACTGTAAGAGCAAAGATAGGTTCTACACTTATTTCTTTCTTAATACATGTCGCAAAGGTCAGTGTTGAAGGTACAGACCCTGTAACTAAAGAAAAAGTGTATGGTGACGCACCTGCTTTTGCACACACGTATGTATACCACAATGGTTCTAAACTTGGCATAATCAAAATCCACAAAGCCTTAATCAATAGACTAAATGGTGAAAGATTATTAGCATCAGTACAACCCCAACTTCTACCAATGCTTGTAAAACCTCGCCCATGGAAGGGTTGGAAATCAGGGGGATATCTATACACACAATCAATTTTAGTGAGATCGCGTGACTCTCCAGAACAACTAGCATATCTACAAGCAGTCTCAGATTCCGGCGCAATTGATAAAATTTATGATGGTTTAAACGTGCTGGGTGAAACTGCTTGGACTGTGAATCGCAAGGTCTTTGATGTTGTCTCTAAGGTATGGAATGAGGGTACTAACTTTCTAGAAATCCCTGGTATTCAAGATGAACTAAAGCTATTACCTCCTCCTCCACGTAGTTCAGACCCAACCGTTATCAGAGAATGGAAACTAAAGAACAAGGAGCTGGCAAATAAGTACTCATCAGATAAGTCTGTGCGGTGTGATTTGAATTACAAGCTTGAAATAGCCAGAGCATTTTTAGGCGAAAAATTTTATTTCCCTCATAACTTGGATTTTAGAGGACGTGCATATCCACTATCTCCCCATTTCAACCATCTAGGGAATGATTTAAGTAGAAGCTTATTGATATTTTGGAAAGGCAAAAGACTTGGTCCTGATGGATTGAACTGGCTGAAGGTTCACCTATCTAACTTGTTTGGTGTTGATAAAGTGCCACTTGAGGATAGAGTTAAATTTACTGAATGTCATATAGAGGATATAAAGGATTCTGCAGAAAATCCTTTAAATGGTAAGGGCTGGTGGAAGACCGCTGATAAGCCATGGCAAGCTCTTGCTACTTGTATGGAATTGAACGAGGCATTGAAACTAGATAATCCAGAAGATTATATTTCTCATCAACCGGTTCACCAGGATGGTACTTGCAATGGGTTACAACACTACTCGGCTTTAGGAGGTGATGTAGAAGGTGCTACTCAAGTAAATCTAGTACCCTCTGAGAAACCTCAAGATGTGTATTCTTTTGTTGCAAAACTAGTAGAGGCTCGGCTTGAGAAAGCAGCTGCAAAAGGAGATGAAAAAGCACTAATCTTGAAAGGTAAAGTTAGTAGAAAAGTTGTTAAACAAACTGTGATGACTAATGTATATGGTGTCACTTATGTTGGAGCTACCTTTCAAATTGCCAAACAACTTACCGCTATTTTTGATGACAGAGCATATTCATTAGAGCTTTCAAAATACCTTGCTAAACATGTTTTTGCTGCGGTGAGGGAACTGTTTGAAGGAGCTCACTTAATTCAAGATTGGCTAGGAGAATGTGCTAAGAGGATATCGAAGTCTATCAGATTAGATGTTGATGAAAAGTCATTCAAGAACGGTGATAAACCTGACTACATGTCATCTATTATCTGGACTACTCCTTTAGGTCTGCCAATTGTACAACCATATAGAGATGCAGGCAAAAAGCAAGTTATCACCAACCTACAGTCAGTCTTTATCAGCGACCCTTTTGCTATTAACCCTATAAATTCTAGAAGACAAAAAGCGGGCTTTCCACCAAATTTTATCCATTCATTAGATGCATCACATATGCTACTCTCTGCTGCTGGCTGTAGAGATAATGGCTTAGATTTTGCATCTGTTCATGATTCATACTGGACTCACGCCTCAGATGTTGATAAAATGAATGTAGTAATCCGTGATAAGTTCATTGAGTTACACGAGGTAGATTTAATTCAAAGACTAAAAGAAGAGTTCGATGAACGTTATAAAAACTACCTAAGGATACTGAAAATAAAAAAGAATACACCCCTTGCTAAACAAATTTTGGCATTTAAGGCTAGGCTAAGCAAGACTTTAGGAAGAAATGCTACTCTTGCAGATGAAATATATTTAGAAAAGAGAAGGGTAGAACTAATAAATTCAAGTGATCCTGCTGAAGTTCAAGAAGGTAAGAATATTGAAACCACTATCACAATTCTTCAAAATTCGGGCGAGAACTTGAGCGAGTATGAATGTTCCGGCTCTGAAGTACAATCTCTGACTGTAATCTCACCATTAATACTGCCAGATATTCCTCCAAAGGGTAATTTTGATGTCGAAGTTCTAAGAAATAGCAAATACTTCTTTTCTTAGTGATATAATAACGACTATGCAATAAGATAAGTATATAAATGGAATAAACATGTAAATATTGTTCACGACTATTAATAGAAAATATTCACTATTTGAAATATTTATTATTCAAAAACATCGGTTGGTTAACCAGATTTAGTATGCAAGGTATATATATATATTCTTGATCTAGCTTATTATTGAATACGTAACATCATAGGGTTTGGGTATCTGAATCAGTTTTATTTTCTTGAGATAGATACAATTTGAGTGTTATTAGGCCATTCCATTAAATGAGTACTTGACATGCTATACAATAAGATTTCAAGCATATATAATTTTACCCTGTTTTTCGAAATTCTCTATCAGTGGCATCAATGGATACATTTCTCTTCTATCTATTATTTTGAATTCCTTCACAAAACTGATGAAATGGGCGAAGAAAGAGTTCCAATGTGCTTCTAACGATAAATGAACTATCTTATCGAAATGATGGTGATAAATATGACCAAATATCCTGAACATCTGAATCATTATCCTTTGAACATCTTTAAAGAAATTTGGAGAAAATGGGACTCCATTTTTAGTTGGGAATAAAGACTTATCATTAACTTTATTGTTTATCCAAGTCAGTGCTAAGTCAATATACTGGCCAGCAGGTAAAGAAACCTGTCTATTATTAGCATCCAACCAAAGGTAATCCGTGTGGGGACCTGCATTCATCGTTGGATATGCATCAGCTGTCACATATTCTGCTATGACACCATAGAAGTGGTTTAGGTTTGTGAAAAACTCAAAAACGTTTAATGCAATCCATTCTCCAAGATCCACATATTTCGGAAGTTGTACAATAGTTTTAAAAGACCCTTTCACTAATGCTGTTTTGACAAAAGGCTCACTTAAAAACATGACTTGTTGTGAGCTCGACCTTTCAGGGGAGTTTGATCTTCTCTGTGAGAGGCTTTGGGTATCATTAGTAGCTGTTCCGGAATGCGATAATTGTGCTCTTTCTTGCAAAATTTGATTATTATTATTGTGAGAGAGTCTAGATGGTGATTGTGTTCGAGTTGGAGACTGATTTTTTCTCAAGGAGAGCTTTGAGCTGCTGCTGGGTTGGTTGGAATATATTGACTGAGCTTGTGTATTACTAGAGTTCATTATCTGGTTATGTGAAGAGCCCAGTACAGAAGCATTTGTAGATGTGTTGGGTGTTCCAGCATTTGAAGATGGGCCTAGATTGCTCGCACCATTCTTATTCTTCTTGGAGTTCCTTCCAAACGCTTTAAAGTTAAAGAAAGACATAGTTATTTTAGTCTTGATCCTCTTTTTATAGTGGGCTTGTCAGATAGTTTTTTTAGTGATTTTGACTAAGAAACAGTAAAAATTCAGCTAATTATGGACAGGATTATAGGCCAAAGCTAAGGTATTACCAGAATCTGAAAACAGCAGATGGTCAATAAAAAAAGAAATCCCGTGGCTTTTAGATTTGTTGATCTTGTCTGTACAATAGTAGCTCCAGTCAAAATGAATAAATAGGACAGTTCGCAGGACAAAAGGCACAACTGTTTTGGTTGTTGTTGGTGTTATGAGTTAAGGAGTAATAGTATATGATTCCTAGTCCATATAAATAGAGTAATTCAGTTGCTCATGATCCTATTTAAACGTAGATCAAATAAATATTTCTTAGTTGTGTGTGGGATTTCAATGCGCATTTTGCCAAAAAAAAAAAATAACAAAAACTTAACAAACTGCAACTACGATGATGTCTTATGATATGCTATGAAGTATGAGGAAAATTACTGAATCGTTGTCATTGACTGTTGTTAATATAAAGATGCGTAGAATTGAGCTCATTAGTAGTCTGTACTTAGAACATGCTACTGTATAGTGTATGTAAAGGTACATGGTAGTTTATAAGAATGTAACGTTTAGCTTGATTTATTTACTCGATTTCAGCGTAAAAATCATGCGACAATAAGATATCCAGCTTTATGATACAGGGACAACAGAACTGTATCATCAGAAAAAATACAATTTCTTATAACCACTTGCAACCTCGGTTAATAAACCTTCAACTCCACAGCACACAGCATCCCATACTATGGGGCCAAAGAGACTACAATATTATTGTAAGCAAACAATCTTGCATGTGATAAACCGTGTAATATTGTATAATACGTGACCACTACGTGTATAATTATAATACGTAACATGCTATACGAAAGGGCACGAGATTTTATTTTATATATTAGCTACGAATATATCAGGTGACCAAGGTTCTGTCAATTTAAGGGCATTCTCTCTGCACTGTAATCTCATCGAGGCCAGCTCAGTCTTTCTTCACCAGATGGCATCCTAGGCGCATCTTCTGCGTATAGGATCAGATAGATGAGGGGAGCAGGATTGGGCATAACACCTGATCCAAGCGCTTGGAGTACTTTTTGAAGCTCATAATCTGTTCTCGAGGGTCTATGAGATTCTATTGTTAACAAGTTTACGAATATTTGTTCTTGTTCATTTTTGCTGCCGACAGTTGAGAACGTTGCTAACTTGCGGCTGATACGTGTAATAGACGAAGTTATTTTAGTCAATATTTGCAAAACTCCTGAACGGGGTTAGTAAGAGAGACACCCATAGTCTGAGTCCTGATAACACTTAACCTCCAAAAATTTTGCATCACTGTTACACCATTACTGTACCTGATATAATAATAACATACTCATAAACCAATGTCGGATCAGGAGGACCTAGGCCTGGCTCTGAAAGGATTGAAGATCAGTAAACGGGTTGCGAGCGGTGGCAATCAAAATATAGAATCTGAACAGATAGGGTTGGGCATTGATTATTCTGAATCAAAAAGTCAAGATGATGCTCAGAAATCTTCTGATGATGAACACAATGATATCTCGGATGATGAGATTGATTTTGGATATATACCGATGAATGAAGTTGTAAGTGCTTCTACTTCTGACGATGATAGTGATGGATCTTCTTCCGATAGCCATATAGATGGAGATAATGATGAATACGATAGCTCTAATTCTGGAAATAGGAATACCACAATTACTGGACCTTATGGTGTGGAAGGAGTGGTAAACACACCAGAAACACCTAGTTTATCAGATATTACACCGATCTCTCATGAGACAAATAATAGTGAGAGCGATTCTAGTGATGATGGGACATGGCAGGAGATGCCTACGATATCATCTTACAATATCTATGGTCAAAAGGGTGAAGTCGAGCTAAGCAATTTAGATTCAGTGGAAAATCATTCAACGGCAACTACTGTCACAAATGATAGCAAACAGAAAGTGTTTGCTTATACCAAAATTGCTGGCGAACAACAAGCACAACGTTCATATGTGACCAATACCAAAACGGATTTTCTGTTTGATCATAAGCGGTTGAAGAAAATAAATGATAGTTCAATGTCTCTTTCACATAAATCAAGCACGGTTTCACTACAATCTAAAGAAGATTATGACGAATTTGAAGATGGAATCGACCCAATAGATGATATAAACCCGGAAGCACAATTAAATGTTACAAAACTGCTATTAAACGATATGGAAAAATTTGCATACGCTGCTGCTGTTAATGTATTAGTAAATCAACTTTGTACTGACCTTGCTACTCTCTGTTTATGCGTGGATATCAAATCACACAAGAAACTTGCCAAAAGATTACAATTCACTCAAAAAGATATGGCTGCTTGGAAAACTGTGACCTTACAGAGACTATATGATCACCTTGAAATTAGTGATGAAGAAATAAAAATGCTAGAAAAAGTTTCTCTACATAAACTAAAACTTGATGACCTTTGCAAATGTCTAAAAACAACTCAGAATATTGAAAATCCATGGGAACACAAGACTAGCAATAGCGAAAACGAAGGGGATGATTCAGTAAATTATAATGATAACAGTTCCTCTGTCACGAATAATGAGAATAATGAGTCTGTATCTTCTCAAAATGTCACAAGTAAACTTTCTCAGAATACTGCAATTGACGACAGCACAGCCAAAGTACCCAACAACAGAGAGAATGTTAAAACTCCTGCCGGCCCAGTAAACTCTGCAATCAATGAAGAAAGTTTGGATTTCATTCAAAAGAACAGCAGCATTAGTATTGTGGAGCCAGACAATGAAATGAAAAGCAACGATAACGACAATAGAACAACAGCCCCCAATAAAGTAATAAACCCAGAGAATATTAGCGATAGAGATAAGCTTAATGTTGATGTGGCTTGGACTATAATTTGCGATTTATTTTTGGTACTCCTGCAAAATTCTACTTATGATTCAAGATCAAGGACGCTCCTAATCAAATTTGCTGAAGCACTAAAAATAACAAAAATTGAGGTTTGTGAATTTGAAAAGCGCGTAACAGATTCCTTAGATTTAGAACAGTCAACTGATGATCAGGTTTGGGATGAACAAGATCACATGAAAGATAGAAGAAAGAAGAGAAAAAGAAGAAAAATGGCATATGTTGGTTTAGCTATGGTCGGTGGATCCCTTGTACTTGGTTTGAGTGGAGGATTACTAGCACCGGTAATTGGTGCCGGTATTGCTGCTGGGTTATCCACAATCGGAGTAACAGGTGCTACAGGATTTTTAACAGGTGTCGGTGGGACAACAATTGTGGCACTATCAAGTACAGCTATTGGAGCCAATATCGGTGCCAGAGGTATGTCAAAAAGGATGGGCAGCGTTCGCACATTTGAATTTTTACCTCTTCACAATAATAGACGAGTTAATCTAATAATTAATGTATCTGGTTGGATGGTTGGTAATGATGATGATGTTCGTCTGCCGTTCTCAACAGTAGATCCAGTTGAAGGAGATCTGTTTTCTTTATATTGGGAACCAGAGATGCTGAAGTCCATGGGTCAAACGATAGGTATTGTTGCGAGCGAAGTATTTACACAAACAATCCAACAAGTGTTAGGTGCTACAATTTTGACCGGTCTAATGTCCGCCATTCAATTACCTATGGCATTATCTAAATTAGGTTACATTTTAGATAATCCATGGAATGTGTCTTTAGACAGAGCATGGTCAGCTGGTCTGATCCTTGCTGATACATTAATTGGTAGAAATTTAGGTGAAAGACCTGTGACTCTGATAGGATTCTCCCTTGGGGCCAGAGTTATTTTATCGTGCTTAGTTGAACTTTGCCGAAAAAATGCCCTTGGAATTGTTGAAAATGTATTTATCTTTGGTACTCCTGTCGTAAACAAAAAAGATCAGCTGGTTATGGCTAGATCTGTAGTGAGTGGCAGATTTGTTAATTGTTATTCGGATATTGACTGGCTTTTAGCTTATCTGTTCAGAGCAACCGCAGGTGGCTTCCGCTCTATCATGGGTATATCACCAGTTGAAGGTATAGAAGGGATTGATAACTATAATTGTACTGAGATTGTCGATGGTCATTTAAGTTATCGTAGCAATATGCCCAAACTATTGAAAAAGCTTGGAATTGCTGTACTCAGCGAAGAATTTGCTGAGATAGAAGAAACGGTGGATCCAGACGAATTTAAAAGAAAAAGGAAACTAATTAATGATGTTGATGCAGCACAAAAGAAATTGAGTGAGAAAAAGAAATCAAATGGTTGGGTTTCTAAATGGCTGAAACCGAAAAAGTCCAAATGGCAAACAATGGTAGAGGAAGCCGTTGAAGAAGGTAGAGATATTTCAGAGTCGCCGTCACATGAGGCCAAAATTAAGAAGAAGAAAGATGGCGCAATTGTTGACCATGGTGCTCTTCTGCATGAATTAGAAGTACTTAAAGCGGCAATGAAGGCTGAAAGAGAAAAACAGGGTAGCTCGGAAGAATTAAATACTCAATCTCTTCCATCTGATGTAGTAGCTTTAGAATCAGAGAAAACAAATTCAGATAATCTGCATTTGAACGCTGATACATTCCCAAACCTAGCACCAAAATCACCGCAAACTCCTAATTCTTTTCAATTATTAAGTGCTGGAAAAACAATTTTACCCGACGATGACCCAGCAGCACATCTCAAAAAGAATGTCGAATATTCATTTCCTGATGATATATAAGGAATATATTTATCTATTACATAGCATTAACCATTAGTTTCAAGATTGATATTTGCTGCATTTAACATGATAACAAATATTTTTGTTTAGCTAGAAGTTTCTTGGTAAACCATGGCGTCATCACTGTCACTAACTATAGTGGACTCCTCTTGACTCTTTTTCAATGCATACTTAGCAACCAAATGCCTAATTTCATCAAGCATAATTGGCTTCTCTAGAACATCATCGAATACCTTGGCACTTATGGCTTCATGATAAAAGTTGGTTATCGCAATTATTGGTGTTCTAGAGTTAATACCATTTGTATGCTTTATGAGTTTCACTATATCAATTGCACCAAGTTTTGGAAGTTTTAAGGCGGTAACAATCAAATCAAATTTAACACCACTGTTTGCACGGCTAACAAGCTCATCACCAGCACCAACACTAACAACTGTACAGCCTACGCTTTCTAAGTCTCTAGTAACACGGTAACGATGTATAGGAATTGGTTCGCACACCAAAATATCCATACGGTAGCCCACATCATTGACACCTGAGCTCTTCCGACCACTTTTTCTCCTATATTTCAGTGAATTAACCCGATATACCGCATGCAGCCTTTCAGCTTCTTCATTAGATAGATCACCTGAGTCTGTACGGTGTGTACTAACCGTTCTTTGAGAGTTGGGATGAGAAAGTAGTCTTGATCTGTTAAATTTGGCTGTATTGGGCGTTGTTTGTGCCGTATTCAAACTAGAATAAGGTGTAGAAGGAGAGAGAGGAGACTTAAACTTTAGACCCGAAGGTGAGTCAAGGTCACTTCCCATATTACCATGATGTATTGAGTTTGAATCCTTTCCAGATTCGGAAGAATGGTTGAAATGGGAGGAAGGTGTTGCTTCCAAGCTAATACTTCTTTCGGGTGAATAAGATCTTAACCCTAAAGTATCATGTTTATTGGCTTTATTTATAACAAATCCAACTGGTGGAGTAGCAATCCCCCCCAATTTAGACACCCTCATTTTAGATGAGCTGTCTGAAATGTAACCTACCAATGAACTCGAAGATGTTCTTCGGTGCCTCCCTTTAGATTCAGTTAAGTGTTCACTCTTTAATCTATTTATCGCATCTTTATTTGCCTTATCCAGAGCAGAAAGGTTTCTAAAATAAAATGAGCCAAATTCAGTTTGTTTATCATTAAGTTTTCCAGTTCGCTTTGAATTATCTCTTAGATGACTTGGGATAGAAGGTGACAGCATTGGCCCTGAATGAGCTGGCTTATTGCTTACAGAAACAGATTCCAGCACAGATCCCACACTTAATTTATGGGAGCTAAATTTATTAGGGTTCTGCCCAATATCTATAGCATCACCGTCGGATTCTAATACAGCATCTTCATCGTTGTCATCTCCAAAGTCTTGCAGAGTAGCTCCACGGAGATCAAAATAGTCAGTATCTTCTGGGTCTTCAATATTTGGAACGTAAGATGCTGTTTCATCATAGACATGATCCCATTTAACATCCTTAAAATATGGATGGTTTTTTATCTCTTCTGTACCATTGTATCCCAACCTTTTATGTGGATCAGTAATTAAAAACTTCATTATAAGGTCCTTCGCCTCCGGAGAAATGTATTCCCGTTCTTCCTCTATGGAATCAAATATCGGCCAATCAATTTTTCCTTCTAAAATGTTTCTAAACACCTGATCCGGTGTCTCAGCATGGAATGGTGGGTATCCAAAAACCATCTCAAACAATATACATCCCACTGACCACCAATCACATTGGTTATCTTCACCTGTTCCTTCAATTGTTTCTGGTGCAAGATAGTCTGGAGTTCCAAAAAACCTCTTGTCCTGTTTGGAATCCTCTGGATTGAAAAGTATCAAATCTGTACTTGGAGAGTTGCTGGCTTCGTTTATATTGAAATTATTTTCAGCATAGGTAATGGAATTTGTTCTTAATTTCATAGGGGTTGATGTTATATTTTGATATGGTGGTGGAGTACTAGATCGAGATATGTCTAAAAATGACTGCTGAGATTCACTGCGTTTCATGGAAGAAGTTTCAGGAGTATAGTCCATGCTATTTCGTTGAAATCTCTCTTTTAAACGCTCCTGTTCAGATCCGGCTGAAAATTCGTTTGTTAGCAGCACTGCCTGTAGATTGTTCTCCAAGATATCTTGTTTCAATGATGACCTTTTACGGTTTTTTACAGCAGAGTTGAGAGAGGGTCTGTGGTCTAAAGATATAATTTCAGGAGTTGATAAATGGCTTGTAGGATGTGAATCAATATTGCTTCTAGTATCAGCATTACTTAATGAGATAGGCTTCGGAATATGCCTATGACGCTTAACCAGCCCTGCACGGGATAAACCAAAATCAGTCAGTTTGAGATGCCCTGACACATCGATAAGTAGATTCTCAGGTTTAAGGTCATGGTGAATAATACCATTATTATGCATATCTTCGACCCCAATGATGATCTCTGACAAGTACTGTTTAACCCATTCATCAGGTAAGCAACCCATCATCTTAAGCAATGTTGCTAAATCACCACCAGGCAGATATTCCATAACCAAAAATAAGTTATCTTTATTTTGGAACGTTGCGTATAACCTTGCCACGTAAGGTTTATCGCTCTGAACCATCATAATCGCTCTCTCTGACTTTACGTTGGTTACTTGATTTTTAGCAATCATATCAGACTTGCGAAGTACTTTTATGGCAAAATAATCACCGGTTAGCTTTTTACGAGCCAAGTATACACTTCCGTAAGCACCCTTACTAATCGGTTTGATAATATCATAATCCTTTATGCTGGGAGTCAGAGGTTTCATCTGGGATGTAGCTAGCAATAGAGGGGACAAGGGCTGGTTGCTGGAAACAGAATTGCTTAAATTAACATGTGAGTTACTTACTGATAAATTTGAGTGGTTGAAAGTCGGTGAATTTATTGTTTGTAGTGTGTTAGTAATTGAATTATGTTCATGTTGATTATAGGAGTTTTCATTTGAAAATGGAGAAATGACTGGTGATTTCTCCATGTTCAGTGATCTATTATAAGATGTAGATGCCCCCTGTATAACACCGTTTGATAACCTAGAGTTGTTAAGGTTATGGTTCACTGTTGAAGGTAAAGGTGAGCCCCTCCTAGGAGTAAGAGAAATGCTTGTTGATAATTTTGGTAGCAACACCGGTCCACTAGAGTTTGAATGTGGCGTGCTGCTTTGATTATTGTTTTTCAGGACTTCATTTGGAGTATTATTCTTGGTCACTAATTCTGATTGTGTCCCAGAACTGCTCGACAGAGTAGATGTATTCTGACCTGAAAGTAAAATGTTAGAAACAGGACCAGCAGAATAATCTAACCTTTGCTTTGGTGTAAGAGAACGAGATCTGATGCTCCGATGAAAATTGGGATCAGAAGGATAGTCTATAATCTCTGATACAGAACTCCTATTAATCTGTGATACCTGATCATTTTCGTAAACGTTATCATATCTATTCAATAGCTTGCTATTATCATCTTTACTTCCCGAAATATTATCAGTCTTAGTTATTGGTATTTCATTGTTTGTTAAATATGATGCAGTAAACAATCTAGGCTGTGGCTTTATGATTTGATCACAAAGTTCGTTTTGTGAGCTTTCCTGTTCTTGATCAGCATCATACCTATTCTGTCCCGTATTGGTAGCAAATTCTGAATTTTGTAGCGGTAAATTCAATGAGTGATTAAATTTTAGCTTGTTATTTTCTACTTGCTCTTTAACGCTCTGTAGAACATAACTATTAACCTCATTTTTTATTCTTAAGTTATAAGTCATGGCATTATCTAATCTCATTATAGCATCAACCTTTTTCTTTATAATATCCATTGTCTCATTTACCAATAATGAGAGGCCTTCATCCTTAATGTTCTCTGCAGTTAAGTCAAAATCTGGGGACCAATTTTGGATAGTCTCAATATTGGTTTTCGAAGTGGGTGAGAATTGGTATGTGAATTCTGCTTGATGGACATTCTGATTTTTCATCATCTTTTCGCCAGGTAGTAACAATAAATTAATATTATTCTTACAAGATACAGAGTCAGATCTTTGTTGGTCCTGTTCTGTCAGTTCATTTGCCGTCGTTTCATGATACTCACTTGGGTTAATGTTAATGGCCGCATTGCATAAATCAATAAGTTCATCAATAATAGTTTCAAAAAAAGCCCTCGATCTAGTGCCTTTTATTGGAACACTGTTATATTCAAGTTCAAGAGAGCTTATATCCTTTTCTTCTTTTTGTGATTTATCTTCATCCTGAAATTTCGATTTAAAATTCTGTAGTATCTCTAATCTATCTTCTAAGTTGTCATGTAGTAATTGGATTACAGATCTAATTTTATGTTCACATACACAAAGATAGGAATGCGTTTCTAACCACCATGCTGGCACATATAATTCACAAACTCGGCATAGTTCTAATCGTGGAACAGGTAAGTCGTTTTCATTTAATATCATATCATATTCAACTCCTTTCAAGTACTCCGCAAAGATAGTTGCACCAAATCCAAGCTTCTTTATAAATTCGATTGGTAAGATATTATCAATTTCATTAGCATGCCAGTCGAGATGATATGGTTTAACGATCCACATAGTATGGGATGGCAACTCTGTTTTGCTATCATGGATTAAAATGCCGCATGCTTCCAAAATAATAAATCCTTCTTGACTATCATTGTAATCTTGCCATTCCCCTTCTGTTTTTGTACTTTTAGTTGTAAAGGTTACAGTGTAGCTAGTGTTATCATTAATCAGCATCATGTCTGTGGTTTCTTTGAAAACTTGTCTATCTTGATCAGTTCCTTCTATTAAATCTTCTATATTATCGGGTACCTTTGTTCCCACAATGTTTTCCCATGGTTGTTTTGTGATGTATCGTATTTTGCCGTTGAGCTCCAATTCTAATATCATACATTGATTATTTTCTGTTGCAAGTCGTAAATATTTTTCATAATTTGAGGAAGATTGTGAATTAGTGTCATTATCTGGAGAGTTATTGTGTGATAGATGCAGTGTATCAGTAGGCGTACCTATCATATTTCTTGTTGAATTTATGTCTTCCATCTCTGCGTCGTTATCATAGCTGTCGTCACTTATACTATTCATGGCTTTCTTAATACTGCCTGTAATTGTCAGAATAGATTGCGTCTTTATTGTGTTTCTTTCAGGACACAGCGACTCTTAGTCCTTCAGTAATGTGTATACTAAACTCGATCGAAAAGAATAGTTGGGTTTCTTTTTCTAATATTATATTACAATTACCTTCTCTCAGATTTTTGGTTCTGAAAGTCACGTCTGCCAATTGCGATTTGGTATATTAGAATTGATGACACTATTAAAGTTATTGCTTGCTCTCTATCAACTCTGAGTAGATATACCGGATAAGAGTGATCACTGCTTGTCAAATTTTTGTAAACCAACAAATATTGTGGAGTTTAGTTTTTCAGCTTGAACTGGAGCCCTCCAATTATGCAGTATTATATTATAAATCAGTTCTAGCGTATTTCTTAGAATGTCCGATGTATTTCGTTTATATCCTGGAATCAGAACAATAATGCAAGATGCTTACAGATGTGATTATCTTAAAAAATGGTCCGAATACTATTGCACAGGTGCCAAGGCCTGCCAACCAATTATAAGGAAAAAAAAAAAGAGAGACCTTCAATTTAATCCCTGCTGCGTAATTATAAAGTGCTCGTGCTAGGTAATAAATAGTTGAGGTAATTGCGTACTAGCCTTGTATAAATCAGCATACAATTATCGTATCTAACAGGCTTATACCTCAAGAGCAAGCGTCATTCAAAAAATCATCAAACAAATGAAGTTCCTTCAAAGTACACATTTGTGGAACTTCTACATCTAAATGTGATTCTATCCATGAATGTGATTCACTATCGCTCGTCACTTCACGCCCTAAAACGATGTAATTCAATTTTCCAGGGTTCAATTCTCAGTCTCCTCAAAATTACCAGTTCGCCCTGAAAAACGAAAAATAAAATAGAAGAAATCATGAACTTTGCTCCCAAAATTGAATTTCAATGGGGGGGGTGAGAGCCCCCTTCCCATTGTGAGATTCAATTTGTGGGCAGCATCCAGTTTTTTTTTGGTTGTGCGTGCTCGCTTGTGCAGAATACAGGTCGCTTTGTTCTCCATTAAGGAATTTTGTTTCCTCCCTGAATTTTCTGAGAGAAAGTTCTTTCATAGCGAGTTTTTCGGGTACGGATGTGGTTATGCAGTTCTTTCTGGGAGTTCAATTCCTGAATGGGCAAGTTGTTTGGTTGTACATGAAATCCGCAGGGCAGTAATATGTGAGAGGTATTCTTCTGCTCTCAATGGTTTTTGAGCAGTTTGTAAATCTCCATTGTTCTCTTGGTCTGTGCGAAAGTGAAGCTGAGTCACCCGAATGGGGGGGGGTGGAAGAAGACTCTATTTTAGTCGAAGGTGAGCAGGGTTCATGTGCATAGGCATTGTGTTTATCGAGTAGGATTTGAATACGATTACATTTGATAGCCATCCTTGTTGGTATGCTATGCAATTGCTTACAGCTTCCCTTTTTATTAGCGATAGTTTCATCTATCGGACGCAGACATTTTTGTTGGAAATTTTTATTATGATGAGTGGCTCTGATAATGGTAGAATCAATAGATTATACTATTATTAGATTCCATTCTTTCTGTACTGTAAGAAATATTTGGCTACAAAGAAATGCAGCACAGTTCTGAGTTGGTATTTCATTGCGATTGTTATTGTCTTATTATTAGTTACTAATATCTCATAATTCTAAAACTAAAAATAACATATTTGTTAATTACGAACTCTCAATTTAATGGTGAATGCTAGCTAATAACAGTACAGAAACTGTTGAGGTATTTTGTATTTTTTTTGCAAGTAACGATCATTGTATAGAGCTGGGTCTAAGCTAAGCTTGAGACATGTAAGAAGAACTAGTGCAAAGACAAATCTTCCTTTTTTTAAGAATGAACTAATTAAACAATAGAAAAATGATCTTTTAGTCCAAAAACATAAGTAAATTTTATTATTGTTTGTTGATAATACCTTCCTATGGATTGTCTCTTGAAAACAAATATGGGGTTAACAATGCAATCCCCGCATTAGTAAAATTTACTGGATAAATGTAAATAGGTTAAAATTGAAGATATTATCTAACAATCGTAACATGTTAGAAGGCGCTCTATAACTCGGATAAAACACCATTCCAAGCTAGACAAATATTTACAGAATTTCTATTCTGTTAATTATTCCCCTAATTTTTATCATATTTTGTGGGTTCTCCATTGTCTAATTGGAATTGAAGGCCATTTTAGTGTCTTACATTATTTTAGAGCCTTGGACAATGGTTGAGAATTGCACTTTAGTCAAAAGTTATTTTTATAGAAGCTACAATAATTTTCTTACAATCGCTCTTCAAAAATGATAGTCTCAAGTTCTTAGGTTTAAGAACACTCTCCAAAATAAACTTCACGATTGGTCAAAACAATCGCTCAGGCCAACTGTGTTATCATAATAGAGATGTCCTTAATAACGGGATTGTCATTTATTAAGTTTTATAGCAGAAACCTTGTCCCTGAGGCTTTTACTATTATAATGAAAAACAGGGGTAAAACTTCTCCACGAATGTTATGTCTTGAAAGCACGTATGGATTTACCATTGTGAAATGTACACAAAATGAATGATATTACCTAACGTAAGGACATATCCATGGAAATATTTCCGGCAATAAAACTAAACCAGGATTTTTTATTTACTTTGTACCCAACGGATATAACGAATGGGCACCAATTTTTTGTACCGATTTTATTACTATAAAGCGTTGTATACATAACATCCTTATCACATAGAGTAGTATTTTCATTGAATCTTGTTGTGGGAAATCTCAAAGCAACAGCTATTTCTATCACTTATCTCCCAATTCATATCATATTACAATTTTTTAGTAGACTACAATCAATTCTTTATGCTACGTCATAAATAAATTTCTGAATATATATGGACAACCTCGATCTTTGTTGTTTAAAATCAGTTGTAATACATACCAATTAGGAAATTCTTTTTTTATATTGTCATATGAAGCCATTCAAAAGCCAGAAAAATTGTGAAATGTTGTATTTTTTAAAAAGGTTGTTAAGGTAACAAATAAAATTTCAGCAAATTTTTTGTAATTCAGTCAGTCAGAAGATTTCCTTTTATGAAAGCTCAAAAAGGTTTAATCGTTTAAATGATTTCCCTGACCGAAAGGACCAGCAATTGGCCCGCTGGCTATCTTTACCAAGGTAATATAGGTCAAAACTCACACAGGTAATGAAAGCCTTACAATTTGCAATAAGAAATTCTTGAGGGAATTTTACATTTCCAGAAATTATAAAGTTTAGAAGTAGCATTTTTGTAGAAATGTTACTCTGTCAATAAATTTTTCATGTTTTCCTTGAAGAATATTGGTATAGATAGCACTTGTACTTCATTAGAAATATGTGCTACCGTATAAATTTTGAAATCGATTATGTAGTGACATTCATAATACAATAAAATAAATCTGGTACCTAGTACTTTACATCAAAGTCAACTTGTGAATGATAAGTCAGAGGTATATAATCCTATGTTTGCTGAAATATATCTCCTATTGCATATAGCGTGTAAGAAACCTTATAGATTTTTATTTGTCTCAGATTATAGCAGTTCGTTAAACCTTTTCTAATAACTACATACAGAAGGTTCTGTTTTTAAATGGACGATACTAGACTTGCCAGGAAGCCTTCCAATTCAAAAGTATGACACGTGAAAAAGACGTTTCATATAGAGAACTGTAAATGACACGTTCAATCAATAACAACCTTAACACAGTGATTATATTACGCCTTTTCAAATAAGTATTCATTTTTATATGCTCTTCATAATTACTACCTAATAGCAAATCTACACACTAATTGGGGTGATCGTAGGATTTGTTGGGTTCCTATTTTAGAGGATTTTAATATTTTGGATATGTGTTATTAGCATTGATTTACTGTTGTTATAAAAAAGTCAAGACATCATTCTTTTCATCCACCAGTGATCATAACAAGTAAGCAACATGTTACAATAATACCAGCAACAGCAATTTAATAACAAAAATGTACATATTTTAAAGAAACTTGTGGGATCTTCTTATTCTTAGTAGACAGGTGTATACTTTTCATTTCATAATCCAGATTCGATAATTGGAATCTGGGTTGCTGCCTTTTTGATGAACTTACTAGATTTAGCCCAGCTGATGAATTAGGAAGCTGAATTTGCAGTATGGACAGTCATGTTTCAAATAAAATGTGTTTTGAAAGAAAGCAACACAAGAACTGTATTACATTAGGAGTGATTATGTTTTAAAAACGTTAAAGTGACCAATTAGGAAAGTTATATTTCAGTACTTCTTCTCAAACCTGAGTTGTGCAGGAATTATTATGGGTAGTTCTCCTCTGCATTTTCTCTCGCTAACTCGGAAACATTTCTTCGGTGATTATCACGGGGATTTTGAAGAACGAATGGCTGCATAGCTTTCTTTGGACATTCGTGAATGATAGGATTCTCAATTTACTCGAATCTCGATTTTCATGATTTTCCAACTCTCTATGATTGCATGCAGCAACTTAGTACTGTTTAAATTTAATGTTGCCCTGATATTGAGACATTTGAAAGGTTTTGAAATATTGCTTGCGTAGAGTGTGTATAACAAATACGTAGAGCTATCGTGTCTCCAATAGAAGAAAAAGCATATTTATATAATCATTTCCGTACGCAATCTTTAAAGCAATAGGTTTAACGTAGCTTTCGAAACATTTACTGAAATTACGACATCAACGCAAACTAGATCTTCATACAAAGTTAAACTACATAGATGAATACAACCAATAATATAGTAGGTGCTATAGTCAATAGCGTAGATAATCTATGCTCATACTTTACTCCATGCTCTACTAGGCACTCAACAATTAAAGCGGTTTTGTTTATCTTAATCCCGACCTGGACCATTAATGTTATAAAATATGTCCAAACATTTTCTAATTAATAAGAATTCAATGTAACCATTGTAACCATTTACTGTACTAAGATTTAT